GTGAAAGCAAAGCACTTCCAAACTTCAAATATCATAATATACTTTACTTTTTATATAGCAGAAAGAAGGCATGAAAACATACAACATCTATGGCACCACTTTAAAAGGAAGAGCGAGAGCTAGATTAAGGCAATGCTGTAAATAAAGCGTGTCTTCATATTTCGTTTAAAATAGTCACAAAGCTTGCATCTCCTTGGCTATGGAATTTAATGTTTTTGGTGCATGCTTTAAAAAAAAAAACAGCTGCTTATTCCTTATAAGTGGGATTGTTTATATTAATCTAAAACATCTGGCTAGACATAGAATTTGTCATCTAGGAGGGTCCCAAACCTTAAGATATGTTAATGTTAAAGTAATATCACTTTTAAATCAATCTTAAAAGACACTTGGATTCAGTGCGACTAGCTAAAACTGGGGTGAAATATCAGCATTTAGACAAAGCTTTAATCTACTGTCTGTAGTCCACTCTTCAGTTGAGTACTGTTAAACTATTTTTGTGGAAATATTTTCTCTGTCTAGTGTCTGGTATGTAACCTGTTTATTTTTCTGGCTCAGGTGTGGCAGATCCCTGAGAACGGGCTGGAGACCCCCCTCTCCCAGCCGGTGGTCGTGTTAGAGGGCCACTCCAAGAGGGTGGGCATCGTGGCTTGGCATCCCAACGCTCGCAACGTTCTCCTCAGTGCAGGTAACCTTCAGCTGTACACCCACTGCTCTCAAACTGAAATACTGTTTTGGTTATTGTCTGCCATTTGTCCACTGTGCACAGCTGAACTCCAAATCGGACCAATCACCTCACTGAGGGCCTTCTGTCGTGTTGCTTTGTGTGATGTAGGGTGCTTAAAATAACCCTTGGACACAGTGGTGTGTGTGTAGTCAGGCTGTGCTGCATGTGTCCATTTTAGGCTGTGACAACCAGATCGTCATTTGGAATGTGGGCACGGGAGAGGCCATGATCAACCTGGAGGACATGCACCCTGATGTTATCTTTAGTGTCAGCTGGAGCCGCAATGGCAGCCTGCTCTGCACCGCCTGCAAGGACAAAAAGGTCCGCGTCATCGACCCCCGTAAAAAAAAGGTTGTCGCGGTAAGTGAAAACGCCGCGGGGATTTGGGGGCTTGGATGTTTCCCTTGTAGAATAATCTTTCCCAGAATCAACCCCCCCGAGTTTGACTCAAAGCACATACAAACATGGCTGCCCAGTCTGACGAGTGTGTTTCTGTTTTTAGGAGAAGGACAAAGCTCACGAAGGAGCTCGACCAATGAGAGCGATCTTTTTAGCAGACGGAAACATTTTCACCACTGGATTCAGCCGCATGAGCGAACGCCAACTGGCCCTGTGGAAAACTGTACGTCAGAGAAGTGGATCTCCTTCAATCCTGAGCACAACACACTGATACATCACATAAACACAGCTATCCATATTAAACTTTAACTTCTTGAACTATTGTAGAACCTGCATTTTGCAGCTTCTTTGCTGTGATACAAACCCAAATACTGTCAGGGGTTTCCATCCGTTTTCATGTTCAGCCTGAATGTGGGTTGAGGGTTATTTTTTACTATCAAATGTTCCTTTTCATAACACCATAGCTCCAGCTGGGGGCGTTAAATTCAAAGGAAAACACCAACACTTAATTTCACTTTTCCACTTGCAATAACAAGGACTTTCTAATGTATTGGCAGAATAGGATTTGTTCTTATACATATTTGGCTAAACTTTTTACTACTTTTTTTAGGAGAACCAAAGCTAAATATACTTGTACAGGATACTTTATTTTATTGTACACTGCTTTTTACTTTATAAAAATATCTAAGTACTTTTTCAAACCAATGTCTCTAGGTGAAATTGGTGCCCTGCAATTCATAGGTCCTCCATAATGAAACGTTGCTTCAAATACTGTATTCTTTTGCTTCCAGGACAACATGGATGAGCCAATATGTGTTCAGGAGATGGACTCCAGTAACGGGGTCCTGCTGCCCTTCTATGACCCCGACACCAGCGTAGTCTATCTGTGTGGAAAGGTGAGTAGCCTTGGAAAGAAACTCTTGTTTTTTTGATAATCAATTAATTGCAAAACTGACTTGAGTTGTGACTGTGTGTCCTCAGGGCGACAGCAGCATTCGGTACTTTGAGATCACTGACGAGGCTCCGTATGTTCACTACCTCAGCACCTTTTCCACCAAGGAGCCCCAGAGAGGCATGGGATACATGCCCAAAAGAGGCCTGGATGTCAACAAATGTGAAATTGCAAGGTATGGCAATAATTATGTCATTGTTATTAAAAAAATGTGTGGACAGTATAAAACACTTTTTCATTTTTTAAACAGGGTTTTTATCGTTTTTAAACAGATTTTTAAAACACATACAATAATACATTTGCGATATACACATTTAAATAATTGATCCTTTCTGTTAAAATAAGGTTGAAATGTATATAATTGCTCTTTCTGTCTCTGAATGTCTGTTTTAAAGGTTTCCATGTTGCAGTTGCTGTTTATGATATTATTAACATAACAATAATCCTCTTTTAGGTTTTACAAATTACATGAGAGAAAATGTGAACCCATCATCATGACAGTCCCACGTAAGGTAAGTCTGTGTTGGTATTAATTAATAAAGTATGCATTTTCCCCGCTGTCTTCATCTCCTCATGACATGTTTTGTGTCCTGTCCACCTGCCCAGTCGGATCTGTTCCAAGACGACCTGTATCCCGACACGTCCGGCCCTGACCCCGCCCTGGAGGGGGAGGAGTGGTTCGCTGGGAAGAACGGAGGTCCTCTCCTGATCTCACTCAAGGACGGCTACGTCTCCACGAAGAACCGGGATCTGAAGGTGGTGAAAACAAACGCCCTGGAGACCAAGCCAGTCACAAAAGCAGAAAACACCCCCACTGTCCAGAAGAAGCACGTCTCTCCACAGCCCTCAGTAGTGAGTGTCAACATGTCTTTTCCCACTTATTGTTCCTTTTATCATTCTTATGTTTTTATATATAACTAGCTTCTTAAAAGTGCTTATTACTTATTCCTCGAATGAAAAGTGTTGCACTTTTCAAACTCTCCTACAGCATTTTTTGCTGACATTTGGACTCCCCCATTAACAGTAATTATTATGGTTGGAACAATTCTCTAAAGTTATGGATCAGCACTTACTTTGGTATTTGGGTCACGACTCAGCAAGGGAAAATGGTAACTGCTGTAGGGCTTCCTTTCCTGTAATATCCCTGCTCATTTTCCAGATTAACAACAAAAAGTGATTTGAAATAGATTAAATACAGAAAATGTTCCCTCAAAATAGACAGTAAAGTTCTGAAAAACGTTTTTTTAAGAAGTTGACTAAATCTCTTTCCATTTTTTAGCAGAAAATGGACCAGAAAATGGAAGATAAACTGGAAGTAGTCCTCCGAGAGTTTAAGTCACTCAGGGACCGCGTCATCCTCCAAGACCGTCGGATCGCCAGACTGGAAGATCAGGTGTCCAAGGTCTCGATGTAAGACGCCGCCCCCTTTGCTGTTTTTGGAGAGGAACCGAATGGCCGGGGTCAGTCACGGCCAAATCCTTAAGATTCGGCTTTCGGTTTGGTGTCATCCCGCGATGAGACCAAGCCCTACATTCCAAGATTAACTTTATTTGTTTTCCTCATCATGTCTCCCATTTCACACTTTGCCCCGACACACACACCGAGAAAAAGGAAAAACTCTCCAAGCTTGTGTATACTTCTGAAGAAAAGACATTTTTGTTTTAAGGATAAAGTCTTAACTTCTTTTTTTTTTTATTGTGGTAAAACATTCTTATGTGAAGTTTGTACTTACTACTCAAAAACTTGTAGCATCAGTATTTCCATTGTTATTTTTCGTGTTGCCAAATATGAGTCGTGTGCGGTTTCATGCACTGCTTTTACATTTATTTGTTCTCCTGTCGTACATTCCAGTCACAACCTGGTAGATTGGTTTAGTCGAGCTGGATTTTTTAAATAGCTGTTGAACTTTTGTCCTCCCACCAGTTTGCTCATTGATAACCATCAGATTTATGAATGTGGAGGAATTATTTTAAGACGTTTTGTTCCTGGTCTTCTGGGCTTGAAATGTAACATTGGGTTGTATTTGGGAGGGGGGGGGGGGGTTGCATCTATATGGTGTAAATGTTGTGCAAAATGTAGTGGTGCCTCTTGTCACTGTTGAGGGTCAAATTGAAGTCGCCCTCTGCAGTGCATACGTGGTCTTGGGAAGGGACCACTCACCCAGCTTGTGTTTCACTGAACCCCTGACAAACAGTTCTGTGCACATAATAAAGATTTTACACAGGAAGAACTCGCTCCTCTTTTTCTTTCTTTATATTGCTTCAGTTTTCATTCATCTCTATCCCTATAGGTCGAGTGTGTGTCAGTGGGACTTGATACATATTCTTGACAACAGACTAATTGTTTTAGGTAAAACTTAATTTAAGTCCCAACCTCCACCCAGGACTCGAGTCCTTTTCAGTTAGCTGTACGTATCTGATTTAAATGTTGATTGGATAACACTGGCTCTTCTGCTGTGGCAAATAGTTGTTTTTACATTTGATCAAGTGTGAGGTCAGCTTCAGTTTTAACAAGATATTCTGACTTTGTTCAGATTTCTCTGCATGAAGCTTTAAAATACTTGTCTCCACTAATTTCGGAAATAAATCATGACGACGAAAATAGCAAATACTAATTTCTTTCAATATAGGCCTGAAAAAGTCATATTAAAAGGTAATACGTTTAAAAACATGTTTTCCTTAAGACAAAAGAATGCACTTCTACAAAATTGTGGACATGACTTCTGTCATTAGCTATGGTCCTTTGTATAGTATGATCTTTAGCATTGAGACACTTAACACAGAAAATATAGAGTTTCAGTATTATTAAGCAGCAGAAGTTTATCTTATAACTTTTTTTATTTTCTAAACCACAACAGTTTTTTTTCCATCAACCACATCTCAATATGACTCAGTGACACAGGAAGTGACAGTTACAGTTGCCCCACTTGAACATCTCTTTTTTCCTCACAGGATACAAAAGGGTGAGTCCAAGCTGTGCATTTTCTCTGTCTTTGCTAAATGTCCTTAAGCCAGAGCACTAAATCAATCTTATAATGATTATCTGTTGAATTGTTCTTGTGTAGCTGGTGATCTTTCACTGTGGCCTTGGGTTGTTTTTTAACCATGAACATGAACAAGCTCCGATCTTAAACAGAAGTGTGATCAGAAGTTGACATGCGAGAATGATCTGTTTACAGAACTGAGTACAAGCAGAGCAACCATCCTAACCAGAGCTCCCCCTAACTTTCCAATAATGAGGTAAGATATTTCTTCTTAAAATGTTAGATAGAAGATCTTGAAAAATTGAATTGATGTGAGAAGATTAAAAGTTTCTTCTGATACATCTGACTTCCTTGCTGATGCAACTGAAGCGTCGCGTTTCGAAGGGGAGTGTTTGTATCTGTAACTATCTGAAAAAAAACGTGTGTGAACATTTCCTGTTTCTTCTATCATGCAGTGCGACAGACGGCATTCTGCTCGATGTATGTTCTCTTGAGAGGCTGAAATGAGATGAACTTTGGTCTGATTTTACCCTCACGTCCATCCCTGTGCTTAATCCGCAGCGAGGTAAGACACTGACCAGTTAATATCTTAGTTTTGGTGATACGTTTCTGCTTTCAGATCTACTATTTTCTTTTATGTAATTGTATAGAATAGCGTCTTAAACTTGCTCTCCAAAGGCATTTTGTTCTATTAAGATATTCACTGAAAGAAGGTTAATTTATATATGTTCTTTACTTCATACATCTGACTTTGTAACCTTTGCTTCAGGTTACACCACTTACATATACAAAAACATTTGAAAGTAGATTCTGTTTGTGTAGACTCCTTTTAAATATGTTTCAAATGTACTCTCAAAATGCAGTAGTTGTTTTTTCCTAAAAATGTAGCAATGGGTGTGGAGAAAGACGCATGACCATGTCATAATATGTCACTATCGCACACATGACATATGTTTTCTACTTTTGTGTCTTTTTACCACAATGTCAAGTTAAATCAACAAAGCTAAATTGTAATCCTTTCTGTCATTTCAGAAACAACAATGGTGCTACTCAACATGAAAACATATCTGGCCTTACTGTGGGGAATTTCTATTTTGTTTACTATGGAGTCCATGAGTGTGTCCATCCCAGAAATAAACTCAACTCCTGAACCAGACAAGACAACCAAGCAGATGACCAGTCCACATGTACCTCATATTAAAACTCACAAACCTACAGGAGTTACAAATGCACCAGCAGAGATCCCTGTGATGCCCACTGTAGAAATGAAAATCGTCACTGGCGGAAGTGACAGCTCTGGTTTGGTTGCTATAACCTCTGTAGCAGCAACAACAAACAACTCAGCTCCACAACTTCAAACCTCCAGAGCAGAGGGCACAACTTCAGAGGAAGCACATCCGTCCCACACCACAATCTCAGAGGCAGCAAAACCTACAGAGGATCAGACACATCAACAATCACCCACCACCACAGATATAAGTGCTCCTGCAACACCTTCTGTAGCATTGGCAAAGTCTTCGCCGCACCCTACCTCCACCCATAAGCTTGAAGTATCATCCGAGTTGTCTTACACCACCTCTCCTGCTAATACTGCTCAGGGTCCAGTCTTTACCCAGACCCTCGTCAGTCCCTCAGCTTCTCCTACAACCATTTCCACATCCACCACCATGACTGAGATTTCTTCTACGTCTCAGCCCGTTTCTGAGACAACACCCATCTCCACATCACATATTCCTGACACAGCAGGGTTGAGGTCAACTGCTGAGTCCCCCATCAACTCATTCTCCACCGATTTACCCATCTCCACCACCAATGTGTCCACCACCACTGTCCTAACCACCATCTCTCCAACCAATGTCCCTCCAACTAATGTCTCCACCACCGATGTCTCCACCACCAATGTGTACACCCCCATGGTCTCCACCACCAATGTGTACACCCCCATGGTCTCCACCACCAATGTCTCTCCAACCAATGGCTCCCACTCCAGTATCTCTACCACCGAAGTCTCCCCAACCAATGTATCTACCACCAATGTCTCTCCATCCAATATATCTACCTCCAATATTTCTTCCTCCAATGTCTCCCCATCCACCTTCTCTACCACCGATGTCTCCCCAACCAATGTATCCACCACCACCAATGTCTCTGCCCTTCCTGCTTGTGTACCCAAAAGGTTACCAATTCCAACCACCAAACAAACTCCGGTAACTACCACAGCACCTTGTGAAGTCTCAAAGAGCCCGTCCAGCACCGAGGCCCAACCCTGCTCCACCCGGCGCTTGGTGAAGCAATGCCTCATCGCCATTTCCTCCTTGGCTGCGTTGGCCACTTTCTTCATGGTTACTACCATCATCCTCTGCACCAGGCTGTCATCAAGGAAATACAAAGTGAAGAAGCCTCAGCCGGCCACAGAGATGATTTGCATCTCGTCCCTGCTGCCTGAAAGGGATTACACGTACTCGAGGCAACGCAATGCAGTCACTAACGGAGTCCTGGTGATGCACGGTGCGGAGGACAGCGATGAGGATGAAGGAGACAACCTCACTCTCAGTAGCTTCCTTCCAGATAATGACCGCTATGTTTAGAGGGAATTATTATCATTAAAATCAGACTTCAGATTGGACTGATGGTTATGATCTCTGGAAAGCGGAAACAGTTGCATGAACTCATGCTTCCGGTTGGATGTTGGTGGTTTGGCTTGACTGCATGCTCTATCGCTACGAAGGAACAGACATAGGAACCACACACAAAACCAAAAAAGTCACTGTTTCGTGTTAATGCACCATTAAGCATATCTGGCGTTTGTCCAGGCCATCAAATGTCTAGGCAAGAGTTTTTTGCATATTTTTATACCTGCCCACAAGAGACTTTAAGTCAATTCAGGATGAAGACACTGATCAAAGACTGTTTTTTTTTTTACATCCTGAGCTGAGCCCTAACGGTATTTCACTTAGCAACAGGAAGGCTTGTTTTGTCAAGGGATTAGTCTTCACAGACACTGTTCAGTTTACAGATGCTATTCTGGTAAAATGGTAAATGGACTGTACTTATATAGCGCTTTATCCAGTCTTTACGACCCCTCAAAGCGCTTTACATACTACATGTCATTCACCCATTCACACCCATTCATACAGAGCAGTACCACTCGGACCTAACATTCACACACCGTTGGCCATCGGGAGCAACTCAGGTTTAAGTATCTTGCCCAAGGATACATCGACATGTTGGCTGCACGGGCTGGGATCGAACTCACAACCTTCTGGTTGAAAGACGACCACACTCCCTCGCAGCCACAGTCGCCCTATAGCACTAGGGCTTCACTGTATGATTGATGGTAAACTGTATGTGCCTTGTTTATCCGGGTGTAGAGATGCAGCTTGTATATTATGATAACTTATTAAAAGAATGCTTCATTTAACAGTTTGGCAATGCTTAACATTGGCTTGGTATCACCTAATAGTACTATTTTGGGACACATGGAAACAATTTTCTGACACTCTTTACTTTGTTAGTTTTGTGCTGATATCCAAATGAATTTCTTGAAAGTACTACTAAATGTAATGCCTAAATAAGAGTCTTAGTTACACTATATTTTTATTTAATGGGAATTTGTTATTTGGTAAACAAACAGTTTTAATTGGGGCTAACAACTTCTAAGGAAATTATTTGAAAAAGATGATACTTTATTGACTAAGAAAAACTTGTGGGCTAATAATGTATGATGATCTCCAGTGAAAACAACAGCTATTTGATCAATGTTAAAGGTGTTTAAAGTCCGCATTTGTCTCTAAATGGTAAACAGTCACAATAAAACTGTGTTCTTTGAAACAAGTCAGTTCCCTATTTTATGAAAGGCTTCTCTCCTATGCTGGACTGGATTTCATATTCACTTCCCTTCCTGCAAAAAGAAAACAGAGCCCTGAATGCTTATTAGGGGGGGGGGGGGTTCACAGTGAGCTATGTGCAACTGAAACAGTCACTAGTGACTATCAACAGAGCTGAGACAAATGTAAACCTGGAGTTTGCAGGACATCATCTCATGCTCCTAATGACCATATAAAGCTAGACTTCTTTTGCCTGATCTCAGACACAGCAGAAGTGGCCAAAATGCATTCACACACATATATAATCGCTTGTATGGCCCTCTCATAGGCGGTCACACTCCCCCTAAAGTGGTCACACACACACACTGAGAGTTTAATTGCTTTCCTGTGGAGAAAAATCCCCCTTCTCCTGACTGTTACGGGGGTTTGTCCGCACAGGAAACATTAACCTCTTCCTGCATTAGCCGGTCACTCTTACAATCTGCTCTCTGACTCTCTTTGCCTCAGCGGGCCTGCTGTTAGTTATCACTGTCAGAGGCTGAGGTTGAAGATAAGGCCAGACTGTCACTGAGAGGCTTCTCCTGTAGAAATCACGGAGAGAGATATTAAAAGGAGAAACACATGTTGCAGTTAATGACATTCCAGTGTTTGTGATGTTTTTCATTGTCATTATGTCTATGCCATGCACATCTTGTTAGCCTCACAGGAGAGTAGAGGAGAGGGTCCCTGCCCCCACAGCACTTTATAAACTCCTACCTAACGAGAACAATCTGTGTGAAGGCCGCAGAGCTCAGACACTCACTGGGAGGCTGAAGGGGGAGGAGAACAGTGGAGAGGCACTATCCAGACAAACCTCCAGCCTGAAATCTGAAACTACAGAAGTGGCGTGGCTCGCCGAGCATTTGCAACTCTTTGCCGTGCTGTCTGTCCCTCACAGTTTATTTTTTCCAGACCGGTTTCACACATCATCCCTCAGAGGGGATTCCAACAGAGAGACTTCTCCTGCCACAGTGGGTGGTGAGTAAAATGTTTCAACATTTGATAACGGTTTTTTTGGAGAGACATTGGAGGTTTCTTGGAATTGGGAATTTAAAGTGGCTGATGTGACAGCATCATGATGCATTCAGGGCAGCATCAACCCTCAGGAAGTATTATTAATGGCTATTAAAAGTCAAGAGACAATATTTTGTACGACACTCAAGTCAGAATCTAGGTCAGAGTTCCTTTTAGCAAGGGACAATTTCTTCCATGTGTATGCCTTATGTCTGTATGTGTCTGACTACTCAGACATGTGTGGCCATGTATATTTGGTTGGGTTAAGTTTGTGATTAATGCTGAAAATAAAATACATCCCACTCCCCTTTTTCTGGATGAGACAGAGCCTCATGTAGCCCAGCTTGCACACATCTGGAGCAGCATGAGGATAACAGTGTTGGAGCTGCAGCCAAGACTGCAGAGAGCTGGTTGTGATCCAACTAAAACATTACAGCAGGGTTTAAAGGGTCAGGTCACCCAAATTGAAAGACAGAAACACCTTAACACTCGTACCCCTTTCAGGATATCCATGCAGATAGTTTTTGGTTTTATTTGGCATAGTTTTATTGTATTGTCTAATATATATGCTAGCCATTACCACAACGGTTAAATGGGGAAATATGCTCTTACTTAATATGTGTAACTCTGTACACTGGGTTTCTGCTACTGTACAGCATGTTTTCTCAGTACACTCGTTGTTTCTAATAGTTCAGGGCTGAGATGGAATAAAGCCAATTTATTTACATTTTTTATGAAGAAGTAACAAGGTACAATCAGGTGAAATTGCGTAAAAGGTGGCCACCGTAGGATATGCTGTAGAGATATGTACAGTATAGAATATTGGTTAGAGGCAGTATTTATGGATATATTACCAAATGGATCAATGCTTTTTATCATTGTGTGATAATCCCAATATGTATTAATGTACATTTAAGTTACAGAGCTTAGTATGTGTTTGGCCAACACCAGAAGGCCTTTGCAACTTTTGTGAAAGAAAATAACATGAACTAATTCAATATAACTATTTAGACAAATACAACTGATAATAAAAACGATTTAAATGTGGTGTCACTTGCAAATTGAGCATAGATATGTGACTCCTGGCAACTTTCTTTAGTGGAGGGAATATCCTTCCAGCCAGATGTTAAGAAAGGTCTTTGAGGATTCAGGAAATACCTTTAGAACAGGATGCAGCATTTTATTTTAAATGGATTACCAGGCATTTATGTTTCATAAAAACAGATGTTCAGCTCTGTGAATCACATGTAAAGTCAATACATGAGGTATGAAAAGTATCTTCACATATGGCACTGACATGTCCGTTCACTGTTATTTACAGATCCTGAGGGGAAACCATGCTCCCGATGGCCCTTCATCTATTCGGTCTCTGCGTGGTGTTTTGCATCAGCAGCAGCTTGGCCAACCCATTAACTTTTTACAGTCCTCTAGAAGGAAGTACAGATGAGGAAGAAATCAGTATCTTAACTTCCTCTCTGCCCACTGACAACCTTTCCTCTGAGTATCAAACCACTGGCCACCTTTCCTCTGAGTACCAGACCACACCTGTTGGCCCCGTCCATGTGGAAACTGACTTTCTGACTCAAGCGGTGGACTTTCTGCTGCAGAACATGCTCCTTATACTTGTCGGAGGCTCCTTCGTCCTTCTTGTCCTCCTCATTATTTGTGGAGCAATCATAATGAGCCGCAAGCGCAAAGTCAATGCCTACTATCCGTCCGCCTTCCCCTCAAAAATGTACGTGGACCACATGGACAAAACCGGAGGAGCTAAGATCTTTGATGAAGTGCCAGAAAAACCCGTACCTGAGCAGGAAAATGAGCCAGTGGACTCTCACAAGCAGCTCCAGGCAGACATCATGATGGCTGCCAAGAGGCTGCGTACACCAAATAAAGGTGTCGATGCTGCTGAGGGAGGAGACCCCAGTGAGAAAGTAGCAGACCAGAGTCCTGAGGACAGCTCTCAGGCAGATGGCAGTATCCTGGAGGAGCTGCTTCCAACTCTCCCCGAGGAGAAGGAGCTGTGTGAGCTTTCTGACAGTGAAGCAGCTGCAGGAGGAGGCCCTGAGACGAATCCTCCAGAAGAAGATCCACAGGAGCCTTTGACTGCCAGGAGTCTCCGGCCGTCCTCTATGATTATCCACAATGACTCGGCTTCACTTCAGCTGATCGCAGGAGAGAAAACTGCCTTCTGAATATTCTGAAAACTGACATTAAAGCTTTGACTCCAGGAATGACAATCACTCAACTTAAAACACATTTCAATCAGCCATTTTTGCATGTTAATATTAAGTGTTGCTTTGCTCAGAAAATTATTTCCTGCAATATGCCAAACATGACTCTCAAAACTACATCAAAATCTGGTTCAGCACGTGTGTAATAACTTCAATGTACGTCCTAAATATTATGTACTTCTGCAAAAGTATTGACAGATCAGTACATACATGTTTAAAATGAGACCGGTAAAGAAAACCACTTCCCAAAAAGAGGTTTTGGTGATACTTTTATTGCAGACTGTCAAGGAAGGATTGCTAAACAACCATAAATAACACTTAAAACAAATGGACCCTTTCATTGTTTCAAGCCACTTTACTTTATTGCATATCAAAAGGTCAGTGCTTAGGGTGCATATAGGATACAGCTCTTAGCTTTCATCATTATCTCCATCACACCCCAAACACAATCCCAAAAATAAGGCTCACTTTTGTATCAACAGCCCAAACAGTGTTTACATTGTGCGTTTACGTGACAGGCTATACGATACAGTATGCAGGGTTAGAGGAGCACGGAAGCCTGTTGTTATACTGCTACGAGGGTTGACGATGGTGTGCATCAACATATTAGGTGTGCCTCATCAATACTACAGGGAATTGAGGATGTTGGACTACTGCTACTTCTCCTCTTGGCAGCAGATAGCAACCAGTGGTCACCCAGCTCACTGTGAGGCGCTGCGTTTAAACGCTGGCCCTCACTGCCTCCTGCTGGTCGTCCTGTTGTTTGCGGCGATAGTCAGCCAGGGCAGCCTTGATGGCATCCTCTGCAAGCACTGAGGAGAAAGACATATTAGATATACATACATGTGTGGAATAGTTTGGAAAGGAAGAATATAATGAGAAATGCTCTCAAAACTTACTGGAGCAGTGAAGTTTCACTGGTGGAAGACAAAGCTCTTTGGCAATGTCAGTGTTCTTAATTGTCAAAGCTTCGTCCACCTTAAAAGAAAAGCACATAGATAAAGTAACCAACACTTGAACAAAAGAGGATAAAAAGAAATACAGGACACAATCTCCAGAGGCAGACAAGTGTCCTTAATGTGTTCACTCACAGATTTCCCCTTCACCCACTCAGTGGCCAAAGAGCTGGAGGCGATAGCAGAGCCGCAGCCAAACGTTTTGAACCTGGCATCCACAATCTTCCCATGGTCATCCACCTCAATCTGTCCAAATGAGAATGTAATCAAATGCCAAAGGAAGAAAGTACTCCATTGTATAAGTAAACGATAATGATCCTGTTCTTAAACATACAAGTAACAATTCCCTTTTTATACCAGTGGCTTACCATAATGGTTCCTGCTACTGTTCAACTAAATTACATTCTGTGTTGTTTCTAAAATATAACTAGGGAAATGCTTTATAGCAATGCATAAATAAATAATATAAGACTTAGTACCATCATCTTGGTAAAGACAAATGTAATCTCTCTGTGCACAATGTGTCGTTCCTCTAAGTACTTTTAAATGTGTGAATATAAATCAGTCTTAATGGCTGTGTGTATAAATAAAGGGTGTAATCCATCCATGCTTATTGACAAACTTACCTGGAGCTTCATAACATCTCCACAGGCTGGAGCGCCAACCAAACCAGTCCCTACATTCTTGGAGTTTTTGTCCAGAGTGCCCACATTTCTTGGGTTCTCATAATGATCCACCACCTATAGAAAGAAACGAGTGTAATGTCAAATTCAGTTTTAGCAAGTACACAATAAAATACATATTTGACATAATTGTTGGAAAATGGAGCAACTTTTACAAAATCTAATTTCCCCTGGGGATAAATAAATTATTTCTGATTCTGTTTGATGACATTATTCCACAATACTGTTATAAATGTATAACAGATGTAATGAGCATCTCTGTTATACAACTGCAAGTGTTTACCATTACGGAAGAGACATTGGAATAAACAGATTAGGACCAGATTTCAATGTCAACTAAATAAACTGCTGCATCCTGCCCTCCTCCCCCTAATTCTGCTGAGTCACTCTGATTTACACAGCATAAAGTGTATGAGATTGTATCACAAAATAACCTTAAAAAAGCCTTACATTTGCACCCTTTATCATAGTAAGTTTGTGTTTGTCCTTAAAATGTAGTTACACAAATGTATGACCTTTAAAAAAAAAAATGTGTTTAGAAAAAACTATTTTTGTTTAGAATTGATTATTTAAAACAAATTACTTTATGATCTTTTAAGGATATTTTTTGTTTACATCTTTAAATGCTAGAAGATGCCGAACCATTATGCTAAATATAAAGCTAAGTACGTCACAGCAAATAAAAGCACGTGAAACAAAAAGGTATAGGCCTTAGCAGTTTTAAACATTTAGAGAGATGCCGTTTACCAATATTATATTATAAATCAATTATATCACTCTCTCCATGTTGCATCAGAGGATCACATTGTACAATGAAACCCAAACTGAACATGTGGATTAACTCGACATGTTTATGATGCTGCATTGCATCAAGAACAAAACAACACATTTTCCTAAGGAAGGCTATGTAACAGAAGATTTGCAGGTTTCTAGCACTCTGAATAAAGCTCATTAATCAGATGTAATTCAAGTATTAAAGTTTTGGCAGTGGCCATCTGATTAGATTAGTGACGTCCTGATTTACTGACAAGCTAGCATGAAACCATGTTGTTAACATAACGCTGTCGGTGGTTAACCAGCTGTTTCTAATTGTATGAGCAATGTAACCCCGTTTCTCATGATACTCCATTTAAGCCGCTACTACTCCAAGCTAGTGGTAATAGTGAGTAAACATTAGCCTAACAGCAGCTAGCATAAAGTGAACTCTCCCCATGGTGAGGCTAGAATAAGTGTTTTACCTTCTTGTGGTAGCAGCACTGGGTGATGAACTCCGGAGCTGAGAGCCTCCTTGTGAGAAGAGCCAGAGGACTGAGACATGTTTTAACAACGGTACCCGCCATGTTGACAATTTAGACGAATGTCGCAGTTTGGTAGAGGGCAGCTAGAAGCCTCTTGTGCAACCTGTGTGCACACGTCACTGCTCGGGGAGGGGCTTAAGTAGTCGCGTCTGCGCATGCCCGGTTTATGTAAACAAACACTTTTTTGTAAACATAGGTTATGAATGATAAGAGCAACGTATACGTAACATTTATGAAAGAAGTAGCATTCCTCATAATTTATTTTTGGACAACATTTTTACAGTGACTGTTAATATTTTACAATAAACCAAATGAATTTTTTGATGATGATGAACCATGTTTATTAGTTTTGGACTTGAAGGAAAGATAATTATGTTCTGTGCATCCCATCCTTATGTTCAAAATAAAATGTTGTTATAAATCTTTAACATAATCAACATGGATTTTTATTGTAAAGATTATGGAAAATGTTACATAAATAATATACATAATGTATTAACATTGTCAAACTTAGAAAGATATAATTAAAATAGCTCTGTACTGTAATCATTATCTTTCTCAAACTGAGAATGCTGGACCTTCCTTTTCAAATTAGTATTTGGTACATTGTTGTTTCACTTATTTCACCACCACTAAAAAGCATTATGAAACAATTTCCTGGGAATGGGTATAATTGGCTGTTTTAATGAAAATAGAACACCATGGTTTTCACTGTCGATTGTTTTTTTGGTTTGTGTGTGTTACTACGGAGAGGGTAAGGGCCACATGAGAAAAAAAATGTTGGGATGTGACAAAAATATGAATATGAATTATGGGTAATGGTAGAGAACCAACTTCAGTGAGAGAATTAGCTATAGCTGAGATCCTGACTGATCACCGGTCACCTGCCTAGTTATTGAGGCCCTGCACACAATCACACCTGAGCGAATATGTCAGTGGTTGGGAAAGACATATCACCCTACCTTTTTAGCTCTAACTATTGCAAATTAATTTGCTTGTAACAGTAGTTTAGAGGTCAGAACAAAGGAAGATATTTGCTAATTAATGTAAATCATTTTACATCATTACCACCAAATTGTCAATATATATATATCCTTTTGTACATTCTGAAGGGGATTAAAACAGCAAGATAACGTTTGTAATTTAATCTAGTAAATTATGAATCACAAAGATCGTGTTGAAACCACACTGTATACATAAAAAATGTAAGTACCCGTTCTAGCTCCTTGACTTTAGCCAAACAATTTAAAAGAACAAAATCAACATAATGTACTGAGAGACCAATCTTTTTTCGAGGGTCCTCTTCTTCTTTTAAATTAAACCTACAGACATGATATATTAATAATACAGTAATAGTATTGTCAACCTAAAAACCTGAGCCCCACATGACAATCAACTTTATATTTTGTATTATCTAAAGCATTTATTACACTCATTTCCCCCCCTTTCATATTCACAGGGTAGATTGTGTTGGAAATTCCCACTGAATCACCTTCTGGTAAGAAATGAACAACTCCTATTAACCAAAGTTGTGTTATTTAATAAAGAGTTAAAGCATCCTATATACAGGAAAAAAACACAGGAAAGTGAAGGTCTCAGCCAATCAAATTCTACATTTAAGACTATAAAAGTTATAGTGACCTATATATAATTTAAGGAGACTTATGATACATTTCCACTATATAGCTCAATTTAGACAGTGTGGTTCCCAGAGAGCTGCAGAGACTGTGGAGAAACCTCAGGGCGATGGACTTCTGTGTCTGTTGGTTTGGCCGGAGAGGAATGAGATAGAAATGTATTTTCCTGCAAGGAGGAGGACAGCACCAGGTCTGATGAAGGAGGACCTGCAGATGGGCAGTTGCTGTAGCCCATCTGCTTCAAGGTTCGACGTGTTGTGCGCTCAGAGATGGTCTTCTGCATACCTTGGTTGAAACGGTTGGTTAATTGAGTTACTGTTGTCTTTCTATCATCTTTAACCAGCCTGTCCATTCTCCTCTGACCCCTGGCATCAACAAGGCGTTTTCGCCCAGCGAACTGCCGCTCACTGGATATTTTCCCTTTTCCGGACCATTCTCTGTAAACCCTAGAGATGGTTGTGCGTGCAAATCCCAGCAGATCAGCAGTTTCTGAGACACTCAGACCAGCCCGTCTGGCACCAACAATCATGCCACGTTCAAAGTCACTTAAATCACCTTTCTTCCCCATCCTGATGCGCTGCTTGAACTTCACCAGGCCGTCTTGACAATGTCTACATGCCTATATGCATTGCGTGGCTGCCATGTGATTAGCTGATTAGATATTTGCATTAACGAACAGCTGAGCAGGTGTACCTAATAAAGTGACCAGTGAGTGTATTTGCAATGTCACAAACAAATGATGGTCCTGTTAGACAAGACAACTATTCAGTGTGCAGATATTTTGTTCACAATACAAGTGTAGTTTCTTAGTGAATGTCCTGTATTGATCTTAAATCGGAGAACATCAGCTTTTGATTTTCTTTTGGATGTTTTTCTTGACCCTCAGAGAAGAAGAAAATGGTGGTGCAGGAGTGTCTTTCAGGCAGGTCCTTCCCTAACAGAAATGACAAGAAACATAAAACATATGACATTATAGCAGAGCAAGTGTGTTTTTTCTAAAATATGTGTGTTTAGGGGCTGTAGATATAATCTACGGAGCCCTGGAGGGTTCATAGAGAGACAAATAAATAAAACATGGCCACGTTTTACTTTCTCGTGCGCACGCTTTAGTAACTCGTGCGCACGCTTTAGTAACTCGTGCGCACGAGTTACTAAAGCGTGCGCACGAGTTACTAAAGCGTGCGCACGAGTTAATAAAGCGTGCGCACGAGTTAATAAAGCGTGGCCTCGTTTTGTGTGTGTGTGTGCGTGTGCTGTTCGTGGTAATTTGAAAACAAATGCCGGTGGTGTCGGATACACACACATACACACATCATGCGCCCCGGTGACAGGACATCTCCTTCATAAAGCGAGGGGGAATACTCAGTTCGATGTGTGTATAGGTGTGTGTGGTTAAACGTAGCAGCCTCGATCTCTATTCAGCGGTTCTAGTGAAGTAAACAGTAAAAGGCACAGCTCTTTGCAGCTGGTGCTGCTCTTCTCAGATTCTGCTGAGTTACACGTTACTGCCTCCAGTGCCCTGTACGACGAAGCCAGTTCAACAGACCCTGGACCTGGATATGTTCGATTTACCCGGCTTAACTGACCCTAACAAACGCGATGTCGATAAGCGGTCCTACGAAGCTGATTATCAACTCAGTAAATCAACCAGGGTTTCTCTGTCCGGCTGAGAGCGCGCTCACGTGAAAGGGACAGGGTTGGCAACATTTGACCAATCACAAACATGGAGACGCGTGCTGACAGCGCAGCGTCATGCTTCATGAATGAATAGTGTAAATAGTAGTGCTGTCAAAATTATCGCGTTAACGGCGGTAATGAATTTTTTGAATTAATTGCGTTAAAATATTTAACGCATTTAACGCATGTGCAGAATGGCCCGCCCCATACGTGCCACCAGTGGCAGCGCCAGGGTATGGCTGGGGTAGGCTACACCCATACCAAGAAATGGCTTAGCCCCATCATGAAAAATGATGTTAAAGTAAGCAAAATAAAATCTGCCAACTCGCGGAGTAAATTGCACAGACAGCTGTTAGTAAGATTGATTTCAGCAGCCACGGGTTTGAAAACTTTTGTCACGTAGTGATCGTCTTCTCAATAGAACATCTTTGATAACGGCGTGGTGTTGTTGCAGGAAGTCCCGACGGAGAATACTTTTGCTGTAGTACGGGGTGCACATAACTGGTACGCAGGTTATGTGCGTAATCTGAAATGCGTACCGTCACTTGTGTCACAAAGCGCATTTGCGTACCGACGTACTTGTGAAGCTTTTCACGGACAGGAATCCCTCAATTTAAATAAAACGAGGCCACGCTTTATTAACTCGTGCGCACGCTTTAGTAACTCGTGCGCACGAGTTACTAAAGCGTGCGCACGAGAAAGTAAAACGTGGCCACGTTTTATTTATTTGTCTCTCTATGAACCCTCCAGGGCTCCGTAGAAAGCTGACAAAAAAAGTAATGTTCAAATCAAATCAAGTTTTATATAGCACATTTGTAAACGATTTTTGGTCGAGCGAAAGTGCTGTACATAAAATAAAAATAGCCTACAGTAGAGACACTTTACAGCAAATACAACAGCACAGATTGCTCAGAATATCAGTATGAGAAAAACGACACCCTCTATCCTTAGACCCTTGCTAGTTTTGTGATGACATGTTGCTTGTTAACATCTTAATGTAACCTTTTGCATGGAAAGAACACTCAACTTCCCTGGTGTGTCAGTGACTAAGTATTTAGTAGTCGAGGATATTACATTTAAATTGACCCTAACAATGCACAAAGTTACCTAACTAACAAACTAACTATCTAATTTGCGAGGATGAGATTATTTAACCAACCTCTCACAGACGCATTGTGTTCTACAGGAATATCCCTCTATATATTTTACACTTGTGCTACGATTAGCATAGTTAGCACAGAGGTAGCTACCACTCGATGGAATTCAAAAACAGAGGCTAAACATGAATTAACGTTAAGTGAATAAAAACACCAGTAACATATAAATACATAAATGGAGAACTAGAATTTCATTTACCGAAGAAACCGCATTCATGGACGGTCTGTTTGAATTACAGAGCAAGCCATGAGATTTAGTCCGATATGTGCATTTGTATTTTTTTCATTTGCATATCCAAAAGACTGTAACACGGACGGGGTGAAGTTCTGTTTCTCCGATAAAGTGATTAGGTTTAACCGCCTGTAGCAGCCATTAGCATGGAGCTGCTAGTAGAGAGGACAGGAAGCTAACAGTCAGCCACCTACTTTCCCTGCTGCATAATGTTAACTAAGTGAGTCTCGCTGAAATTGGTTCACTACAGGTAGCATGTAAGCCTACTCGTCATGTGCTAGACTTTCTCTTCCTGCATTTTGTTGTATTGGATATCTTGATAATCTTAAAGACTGATATGCTGTTATTAAATATACAATTATTATAATATTATTTTTATTTAATAATCTTAGATATGTTCTTATTGTATCATTCACTACATAAATTCTGGTGGACAACATTAAATAGTTTATCTTCCCAAATCTGGTTTAATCAGATTACAAAAATGTTTCGTTTTTGAATTACCTCATTGAGACATTGGTAGCCCTAAAATTGGTACACTTTTCAGAGGAAAATGATTGTGTTACATTTTGAGAACTGGGGATTTTACTCAATTTGATTTTGATTGGAGTTTTTAATGATGGATATTTTTGTTTTATGTGGGATACTTTTCCTGATAGACTGTAAGGCTTTATCTTTCCTATTGTATTTTCTTGAACAAATGTATGAGTTACAAAATACTGAAACAGGAAATCACCCATGTCCCACATTTTTGCAAACACTACACTTCTGGTAAAACGTAGTATCAGCACCGCTCTATTAAAGGGATGTGAGCTGTTGGTGTTGTTATTCCTTGTTTGAGGAGATCCCCTTTGTGAAATTGCAACAGTTTAATTAAAGGTTGTAGTCAGACTTGAAAACCCCAAATTAAAACAAAACCTTTATTTTGACCCCTGTGACTTACTAAACACACTTAAAAAGATGAACATGTTCTCACCCTCAAAAGAACATTATGGGAGGGTAGATTCTGATATGTTCTATGACATGTCAACATCGTCTCTTCTTTCGTCAGGGACGTTTCCCAGGAAACAGAAGTGAGAAGTGACATCTAGAAACAAGAGAAGTCATCGTCAATACTCGTTTGTCAGGACATAAGGTGAGTACTTGAGAACATTTTATGTTAAATACTTCAATACATTTTCTTGAGTTAAATTGTGAATTGTTCATACTTTTTATCTAATGCTGCTTCATACTTTTACTTCACTACATTTTGGATGCAAATATTGTACTATTTACGGCATCCATAGTTACTATTAAAGTTCTACATTAAAAAAAAGCATGGTTTGCTTATATGATATGATCAGCATTGTACTCCTAATCTACCAAGTTTTTAACAAACTATCTTAAATTGGCTTAACATTGACAACCTTTAACAATAAAGGTAATAAAAACAATAGTACTTTTTTATTATGATATATGACTTGTATAATAAAACATGCATAATGTGTACTTTTAATTGTCGATACTTCCTCCTTATAAATTCTGTTGATAATTCTTATTCTTAAATAACATTTTGAATAGAGGAATTGCACTTATAATGTTGTATTTTAAGACTAAAGTATTTCTGAATTGACTCATGTAAAGGATGTGTGTTCTTCTTCATACACTGTCTTTGTGTTTATCTTTAATAATAAAATCTCTTTGTTACATATTTCAGGCCAAGTTACCAGCATGAGTGTGGATTATATTGAATATGGTGACACTGACTACACTCCAGACAATGAAACTGAGAACAACACCATCAAAACTGGACTGCTGCCTTTCAGTCCCTATCATTCTTCTTTGAATCATGTTCTGGTGGCAGTGAACATCATTATATCAGTTATTGGCCTTGGAGGAAATTCACTAGTGATATGGATTTGTGGATGGAAAATGAAAAGAACGGTCATCACCACCTGGTACATCAGCCTGGCCATTTCAGACTTTTTGTTTTGTGCCTTTTTGCCCCTCGAAGTTTTCTACATGATCACCTCACACTGGCCTTTCGGACTGGTGTTGTGCAAGTTCACTTCCTCTGCCCTGTTTCTCAATATGTATAGCTGTGTGTTCCTATTGGTCCTGATCAGCGCTGATCGCTGTATAATGGTATCATTTCCTGTGTGGTCACATAATCACCGGACAGTGCAGAAAGCACTAGGAGTTCTTGTCCTAATGTGGGTCCTTTCTGCACTGCTGACGTTGCCTTCACTGATCTATCGACAAACCACAGTGCACGGCTCGGTGACTCAGTGCCACACCAGCTACATGGGCCACTCCAGACACAAGGCAGTGGTGCTGACTCGATTCATCTGCGGGTTCCTCATTCCTTTCCTTATAATTGTGTTCTGCAGCTCAGTGCTATGTGTGAAGCTGAGAAGTTTGACCAAGAAGTCCACAAAGCCTTACAAAGTCATGGCAGCACTCATCTTGTCATTTTTCTTCTGCTGGATCCCCTATCATAGCTTTGTTATTTTAGAGTCAGACTTGATGAACCACAGCCTGGAAGTTCTTCAAACTGGCCTGAAGGTGGGGGCCACACTGGCTGCAGCAAACAGCTTCATATCCCCTGCACTCTATGTGTTCATTGGCAATGACTTTAAAAAAAACCTGAAGAGGTCTTTAAAATCGAGAATAGAGGAGGCGATGGTGGAGGATTTCCGTACAGGTGGTCTCAATCACTCAAGGTCTAAGTCAATGGAAATAATCTAAAATCAAGTTGAAAACGTTCTAATCAATGACATCAAAGAACATGATTATAGCTTGGTGAAAATTGACAAAATCATCCGTTATTGCATGTTTTATCTCAGTATACTGTTGCCTATATATACATTTATTTATAACTCACTGTTACTGATTTATAACACATTTGCATGACAAAACAGTCCCAAGTGAATACATGATTTATGTGCTGTTATGATTGTAAACCAGCTTGTTACCAAATTGATTGTTACAAGATTAATTAAATATTTTTTATGGAATTAAATAAATGTTTACAATATGGTATATATTAAATCTTATTTGGTTAAGCAGACTGTGAACTAAAACATAATTCAAGTGAACATTTTAATTTGTAGCCATCAAATCTGCCCTCTATTAAATGTTCTTGAAAAACAAATGATTTGATGCCTGCATATATAAAAAGGAAAGTATAAATGAATGAGGTTTGTTGATGATTTTTGCTATTGAAATTGTACTGAGCCCCAAAACCCCTCGTAGGTAGGCATATTGTGTACACCGTAGAGACTGGTATGTTGCTTTGTACTTTATATGATATATATGACCTGGTCTAATCCATAAATTAACAATGGCAAAAGTATATGAAAGAAAAAAGCTCATATTGACGAATTATCCTGTGTTGCTGTTCTTACACCTGCATAAGGGTTATTACTACTGAATAAAAGATGCCGATTGGTGGAGTTTATTCACCTGCGAGGCCTTACTGAGGGAACCAAAATCCCATGTGACCTTGTAGCCACGCCCCCTAGATTCCCCCGGATGTTTAACGTTAGCAGTGCTGCGGATGTGATGCAACCAGATGTAAGGATATTTCTCAACTTCTCGCAACAAGTGTTTATTGTCATTTAGTAATGAACACAAACAACCTTTAGGATTGACGCTGTGTTATTTGTGTATGTTGCTTTGTGTTCTGTTAATCCGTCAGACAGTCAAACTGTTTATTTCCGTTAGCTACTCCGTAACGACACCTTTCTAGATGAGAGCTAACGTTAGCTAGCAGCCGGTGGATTGTATGCGATTTCAGGTCCCTTTCGAGAGTCTTTGGTCTCAAACTCAGTCTCTCGTCTTCCCTTCTTTGTTAGCTACAACCCCCCATCAACTGGACCTCCATATGAACGCGTTTTGAAGAGCTGGGTGCCAGAGGAGTCATCCCACCTGTACCCTCTTGTTCAGGGGATCTATCTTTAAATGGCCACCGCGGCTCCCCCTCCAGTCCCTGGCTCCACTGCGGCCACTGAGAACCCGAATCCCGGATCCAGCAGCTCCACTGCGTCCGACAGTGGCAACCAGGACAGTACTTTTGAGTGTAATATATGTCTGGACACCGCCAAGGATGCAGTTATCAGTCTGTGTGGACATCTCTTCTGGTAAGAGCTACGATCAGTCACTCTAATTGTTTACACTTTTGCTTTAAGATCCAGATCAGTCTAGTTCAAATAATTTCTCATTGTTTTGAACCAGACATGATCCAGCATATACAGTATATCCTACTGGACAATATCAACCATCAAAGCCATGCTTTTTAACTAACAACAACATCAACAACAGCTATCATCAGTTGTATTGCTGATATCTAGTCATGTGTAGACTTTGCACATTACGTATATTTATATTAAGGCATTTATACAAACTAAAGCTAAACCTGCTAATGTATTTTATTCTGGTGATTTACAAAAAACATTAAATATTGGTTGATATTCTACCAAAGAATTGTTTTTCTAGAATAAGAACAATTAATACCATTCCAAGCTATTACAGGATTGCTGGGCTGAAATACAAAATATTTTCATCGTTGCCTAATCCGTTGATTATTTTCTTTATACATTTTCTTGCTGTTTGTTCCCCCCATTACATGTAAAGAAACCCCCAAAAAGGTCTTTGAAGAAACAAAATGGTTGGTGATTCATTGAATAATCTTTGCAGCTCTAAATTAATTAAATGTATTCACATTTTCCAAACCTATGATAATATTTAAATGTGGGGTTGCGGTATCTGTAGTTATCTGTAAAGAGCTGATGGTGGATGTTTAGCATTTCGTCATATATCTGTGATTATTAATTACAGTTATTGATTAAATGAGTGTTTTATATGTTGCTCAGCCTTGTAGTTCGTATATGTTTTATTAATCAAACCTCTTTCCTGTCAACTCTCCTTTTCCTTTGCACCATCTCCCGATCAGTTGGCCTTGCTTGCATCAGGTAAGCTGAACCTTTATTTGACAATGACATTGTATTGTAATTGTCGGTGTATAACTGATGCAGACAGCCAGGTCTTTAATGTCTTTGTCTTTGTGTAGTGGTTGGAGACCAGACCCAACAGACAAGTGTGTCCTGTGTGTAAAGCCGGTATCAGCCGAGACAAAGTAATCCCATTATATGGACGGGGAAGCACAGGTCAACAAGACCCCAGGTAGGTCCTTCTGTGTAGGATTACTGGTCTGACTGACTCTAAACGTCACAATACACACAATAAAGTACTCAAATAGGCACTTTTCTAAACTGTTACTGAATATGTATAAACAATGCAGAGCACCTAATCATTGCTTTACTTTTTTTTAAAATTATTATTATAGAGAAAGAACTCCCCCTCGACCACAAGGACAAAGGCCGGAGCCAGAAAACCGTGGTGTAAGTACTTGAATTGTGATAAAAAAATAAAAACAAGTACATGATAGCATGTTTTTGTGCCAGATCAATACTTTCTTTATCCCAGACATGTTTTGTATCAGCTGTTGACTTGCATTACACATTCATGATGAAACCATTACCTAGGATGGTGCAGGTGCTGACGTGCAAACCTGTCTTTTATCCATTAACAAAAGATCATTTCCCACTGGGATCTATTAGATGCTTAGGGCGGACGTGTGGCAACGTCTCTTGAGGATGATGAAAAACGGCAGTGTCTGTTGCGTCACATCTCTCCGACTGTATGGTAAACTCCATTGGGAAGAGAATTCATGCACAGCTTCATGTTAGTGATGAAATATGTTTCACAGGGCTTTCAAGGGTTTGGCTTTGGAGATGGGGGTTTCCAGATGTCATTTGGAATCGGTGCTTTTCCATTTGGTATTTTTGCTACAGCTTTTAACATCAACGACGGCAGACCACCTCCAGGTATCTATGTTTTACACACTTCATGATGACCACTGATGTCTTTTATCGACAGCATATCAAATAACTTTCTTTTAAACTAATTCCCAAACAGCGGCCCCTGGGACACCGCAGCACATGGACGAACAGTTTCTGTCTCGACTCTTCCTGTTTGTCGCTCTGGTGATTATGTTTTGGCTGCTGATTGCATAAATGCAAGGAGAAACACTAACTCTGGCTTACCTAGAAGATTTGAAAGAGATGCAACATTATGGCACATCATAATGGTTTGCACCAATGTGATTATGCCTTGACATATTTTCCTCTCCTTGACTCGAAGCCATTTTTCTAAATAAAAACAAGTGTTAACCCAAGGCAAACATCTCTTAAGGTGAACCACACAACCTCCATGGAAACATTTTTTAAATCATCATTCAATTGTTCTCTGTGCTCTCTTTGAGTATTATTTGGTATTACTACTGAATTCAAATATATTCTCTGCTAATCAAAATAAGACCAGCAGTGCTCTGGGATCATTCACTTGATTCTCATGCATACATATATGATCCCTATGACCCTTTTCAGGTAACTATTATTGTATTAATTTGGCCCTATTCTAATTGACAGCCATTGCAAGAAGAGCACCGATGTTACTAACAATGTCTCTGTTTTTCTCATGTGCTCGAAAACCATGACAGTGTGATCGTTAATATTATTATTTACACCTGTGTTCTACTGTTGCATCTTGTCATGTCTTCCATAAAACCCCCTCAACAGGTTTCAAACTGAGCACAAGCAGGCGACTCCCTGTTGTCTCTCTTCATCTATATACTTCAAATGTGTTTTGTGTTGATCTAGCTCTACCTGATCTCACAAATAATAATAATTTCATCTGCAAATATTTACCAAATCATACACAGTCTGTTGAGTCAAAACAATGTTAGAAATGTTCTCTTTATTTCGGATTGAAAAGAAATATGTTGATGCATGTTAACAGCTCAAATATTAATTTATGAAACGGTGTTCCTCTCCAAATCGTTTGTTTCCCCTCAGTTTTCTCTGTCACTGTAATTTAATGTAAAATACTGTAGATTATTACAGAAATGAAGATTTGCTGGTTGAACCTGAAACCACTTTTCAAAATGTGAATTCATTCTATTGACAGTAAAGCTATGTAAATAAAATTGTTAAATCATAGTTTGTTTTTTGTCATAATTGATGTGTTAATCTGTTAGGGCCTAATTCTCTCACTGACTTTACTCATCTGATCTAAATCAAGACACACCACAGTGGTATTGAAAAACTCAACTTGCTAAATGGCAAGTAAAATTATTCATTGTTAATTATTTTACATAAAAAAAACAAAACCTAACCACTTGTGATGTACCAAAGAAAGTTAAATATTTTGGGCATTTCCTGGAAGAGATTTTTAGAAAACTATTAGTAGAAAAATAGTCCTTTTGGCTTAGTCCTGTGCTGATGGCTCCGACTGTTTCTCTTGAGGCTGTGCAATGTTAAACTCTGCTTCATACATAATCTGCTGGATCTTTATTTTTGTCTCGCACCTTTTTTGTGGAGCAAGTCGCTTCAGAGCGGGTACAAAGCTCAGAAGAAACAGTTCATCCTCATCCCGCGGCCTGTTGGGAAACACAGTGCCATTGTCTTTGACCAGCCACTTTGTAGGGGACTGAGCAATTGGAGAAAGAGACAGTGGAAGTGACTCTTGCATCAGGCGCCGTTTACGTCCAGTTTTGCTGGTGGAGGGGGCGTGTTGGCTCAATGGCATCTTAGCCAGAACAGCCAGCTGGGCCATCTGTGCTTCTTGAGACATCAACGGGAGCTGCGACATAAACGCCACCGGGGGCTTGAGGTCAGGTGTATTCATATTGACCTTCAGGGCGGACTGCAGTGTCTTGATCGCCTCAGACGGTGACGTTTCTCCCTCAACACTGCCAGACTCATCAGCGTTGTCATGGTCATTGTCATTTATGTCTGCCACGCCACTTCTTGATCCAGTAAAAGGTGCGATAAAGTTCATAATTTCTCTGTATTTCCATCTACTGTGCGCAAACTCGCCTTGCTTCTTGCTCTTGATCTCCATTCGGACTTCCTTCAAGTACCGGTCTCTCATGTTCTTCCATTTTCTTTTACAATCCTCAGCTGGAAAGCAACAAAATGGAGTGTTAAGACCAAGACATCCTTTAAAAAATGCACAGGAAGATAAAAGTAAAGTAACCCAAAAGTCAACACAGTTTTTTTTACCATTACAATTCAAATATTTACCCCTACAAATTTAATTTTCAAACATGTTGTGCAGCTTACATTCTGCTATATAAATGTTAGACAGGTAAGGTCACCAAAATAGCTTGTGAGAAGTGTGGTCTTCTCCCCTCACCTGACAAAATATACCTGAATATCATGTTGAAGTGTTTGTAACGGGTAGATGGCCATAGGCAGTAGCAGTGGACTTTAGATTTAGCGATTGGGTACAAAGTAATGCTGGGTTTCTGTTCTATGAGAACAAAACAGTAGGGACTCTGTATGAGATCACCTGACAAATCCCTGCTCAGTGATTGATTAATGAACTGCTGTTAGCATACAGCCTGAATGAGGCTCTTTTTGGCACTGGGTCGGCCATCTCTGGTGCAGAATCTCATACAGCAGGATCACAGCAACTCCGTTACTGTTATTACTGACATCTCAATTATTCTCTTGATCCATTGTTTGGTCTATTATAGAAAAGTAATTAAAAAAAATACCCAAAACATTCCTTAATTCCAATATGACAGATCTAGGTCAGATCAGATGTTATGGTCCAAATCATTTAATCAACCATGCAAAAAGACAGACAGGAGCAGTAAATCCTTACAAATGAGAAGTTGTGTGTCATGAGTTATTAACTGATGAAAAAAATCGCTGTTGATTATACTGTGGTATTTTACTGTAGACTAAACAATACAAGTAGTGGCCACTAAAAGCATACAGTTGCATCAACACCATGGGAAGTTTAGAAAACTTAAGTTAATAATCTTCCTGGATGTAATATGTTGTATTGGCTAGATGGAATAAGTGTAGCCTTACTAATACAGTGCTCATGAAGTGCAGGCCTATAATGAGCTATAAAAGAGTATTCAAATATAGAAAAAACATAACTTTTTCAAAGTAAACATCGGTGTTGCTGATATGTTTTAGTTGTAAATTGTAATAAAGTGTTGCAAGACAGTGAACAAATAAAATATTTGTATCTTGAGCCATCTTAAAGAGGTCATTGTTAGTTTATCCGTGTTACATGCCGCACCACCTGCTTATATTTCAGGCTGGGGGCCTCTGTCTCCGACATGTTTAATCCTACATGATGTGGTGCTGACGCCGCTTCCATGGCACTTCAACAAGCTATTCGTTTATGTGGAGCCCGTTGTGATAAGGAGTGGATCAGTGACGCCGCTGAGCATGCTTCCTCCCCCGCCTCGCCGTACTCGACACGCGGTCAGCGGTGCGGAGGAGCCGGATGGAGCCGTTCGGTGCAACGCGGCCTGCGGCGTGCGAGCTGCGGCTGCTACCGCTAGCACGGTGCGCGCCGCTGCAGCTACACCGCCGGAAAATACAACATAAATAAGAGAGCGACACATTGCCTGCAAGATACATATGATATACCTCTATCTCCCAGAGACACCTAATGTGTTCTAATGTCTGTGTGTTAAGTCGCACACGACAACATCGGCTAAAATAATAACTGGTTTGTAAAGTTCACAAAACATTAAAATACTCACATGGCAGACCCAGTTCCATGCTAATCATTCTCCAAGCATTTGTGCGACTTTCCGTGCAGCGGTAGTTCGGTAAAGTGACATTAAATAGCTCTGGGTGACTAAATACAGCCATTATTAACTTTTCGTCCATTTTGCCCTAGTGTTGTGTCTCTGCGCGGACGCGGAAGCGGCAGTCTTCTCCCGCCTTTTCCGCCCAGCTGCTGCCTCAACGCGAGTTATCGCGAGTGGCTGTCTGCCGCGCTGTGTCGCTCCGCCGCTCAACGGTGGGCGTTGTAGTCTTTTGACACAGGGGGGCGCACCACAATGAAATGTAAACTTCCTAACATTAAACTACAAACTGTTACCTTTCAGTAGAGAACAGGGTTATGAAGGTAGGCTAAAAGGCTCTTACCACATTTTTTTAATAGAGTTTATCATTGTGACTGATTCATGTATAGGGACCCCAGGCGGTCACCTCCAAAAATTGACATTACCCCAGTTACTGCATGGGATATAGTAACAAAGGGCAGTTATAGAGTGAACATTTTTTTGCACACATGGGCTTTATCCAGCCTTTGCAACTAAGCACTTTATTATGTCCAGCCAGTTCACACACATATTCATATACCTATACCTTAAAGCCACAGTGGCAATAACACATAGTTGTCAAGCTTTGTTCTTTAAAACGATGTCGATGTGGGCCAATGTTGTCATTGTATGAGAAGTCAATAGAATATTTAATGTCATGTAGGAAGAGAACAAACTACAAACAAATATAATAGAACAGCAATGTAGTGTCTACCACTTTATTATGAATTTTGGTCAAATTAACATACATTGCATTTCTAATCCTGTCAGCATGTTTATGTTTGATTTCTGTCCTTTATTATTCATGTTTCAATTGCAATAATGTATTGTATCCTTGTAATATGTTGCAGGAATACTCCCTGAAAAATGCATGCAGCCTCACATCACGGTGAGGCGGATAATTAATTAGCCTCTACCTGTTGTTTTGTCACTTTATCTGAACTGGTGTTAGAACTGTGTGTTTTCTGGGGAGTAAGGGAGTAAAAGTAACATGCTCAGTCTTGTCCTTTCATGTCTGTTGTAAGGGGATAGTTGGCCTTTAAAGGCGTATGGGGTAAATAGAATAATTTCTGATGCAAAACACAGGGTATTTCATATAAGTAGTCTAACTGTTGATTACATTCCCTTTGTAGAAAAACATTATCACCCGTGTGGTCGGTGGTGGCTTTTCTTTACCTGTTGTACCAAATATTGCTCTCACAACAACAAAATGATGGTTTATCATTCTAATCCCCCTTAATGAAATTTGAACTGTGTGAACCAATGCGGATGTGGTAGAATTCCTTCTATTGAGAACGACAATAACTGCTAGATAGCCATCACATGCTCCGCAAACTATACATCAACAATCTGGACACTATTAAACCCAAGTGAAAAGGATGGTATGGTGTTTATTGTTATCTGTTTTCAAAAGCCCTTATAAGAGGAGCTTAAGACAGATTGTGGAAATCCATTAATTCTCTGAAAAAAAAGGTGTATTGCCTTGTATGAAATCAGAGGATTTGTTGAGAGGGGATGAATTTAACCTGTAATAGCTTTACCTCGGCTGTGCACATTGTCAGAGGAGTCAGACTGAAAGACTGCAGCACACAGATAAGGCGCATGATGCATGATTGTGAATACCAACCACATAGAGAGACAGCCTTTCTGAATGTACTCTTCAATTTGTGTTTATCTTTACTGAGAATATACAAATCTATCAGTGTAACAACACACGTCAGTAGCAGGATGAGTCACTCATTGAGCTTCCTTATTGCTGTGTGTAATGCATTGTTGTTGTCAGTGCAACACGCATTTATTTACTGATCTATTAATTTACAAAATATCCTTCATTGATATAGAAAAGTGACAGTATGAAACACATTTAAGAGCTAATCCTTAAATTCAGCATGATACAAGTCTAGCCATACCAAAAAAAAAACGTTCATCTTTAAATCCAGGTTTCTAATACCAAGCAATCCCCTTTTCTCTAAAACCTCAACAATAAGGATCTTAGAAGCTCTCCACTTCTCATTTTATGCAGTGAAATCTGATTTCTTTTGGAGAAAGGAATGAAGCAAGATTAACTGAATCTGCCGTCCTCCCTAACCTCTTCACAAAACTGCCCAGATTAGCTAGGAATTAAGTTTCAACCGTTTCATGTGTCTGGTCCACAGGGGGATTATGGTTTTAGTTTTTTTTTTTTTGCCTCCCAATTTCACTATAAGGGCCTGCACACTGTTGTAGAGAGAGGAGAAGCAGAAGAGCAGCCGAGCCTGAACTGTGGCAGTGTGTCAATATCCTGGCATCATTGCTGCTTTTGTTTTATTGTTTGGAGTTGAATGGACCCGTCAGGATGGAGAGACACAAGTTTCCTTTCACTATTGAGAATATATTGAGCAAATATCCAAACAGTAATGGAACAAGTGGCGCTGGAATAAAGGAGAAGGCAGTGAGTCCTGCTGGAGGCCAGACAGAGGCTGTCCATCACGCCTGCCTGTGCTGCTGCTACTGCTCCCACTGTGGAGACATATACCAGGCTGACTTCATTCATGAAGGTGAGTGCAAACAATACACAGTATAAAAGAGGTGCAAACCCCTTATCTTTATGACACATTTGACACTTTTTTGTCTGTTTCTGTTGGTGAAGTTAAAGGCAGAGCACATTATTGTTGTGGGAAAAAAGGGAAAAACTGCTAGCATGTACAAAGCGCGCTTCTTTAAAATGCAATGATAGCACGAACAGACAAGCAACCTTTAATAAAGCCCTGTGTTTGGCTTGGTTCATTGGATTTATTAAATCAGAAATGTATTTGTTTGTTTCAACAACGTTTCAGTATATGCTTTTTAGTAATGCTTACTCTGCTTCCTTACCTTAATCCAGACCTCCTCCCTGCAGCCTGTCAGTACGGATGGCCCCCAGCGATGCTCACAGACCCCTGCAGGCTGGGAGACGCTCACAGGGAGGAGCAGACAGCCGGGCAGGTGCAGAGGAGAACCAGACGTCACCGCACTATTTTTACAGAGGAGCAGCTGGACGCACTGGAGGAGCTGTTCCTGCAGAACCAGTATCCAGATGTTACCATGAGGGAGAAACTAGCACAGCACACTCACTTAAGGGAAGAGAGAGTAGAGGTAAGACTATCACATTTACAATTTCAGCCAATTATAGTGCTGTTGTTTCAGTGGGTTGAATAGGTTTCTGATAAAGTGGTGTATTGTGCCAGATATAGCAGATTAACAATTACTAAAGATGTGTGCCAGTTTAATAATCTAATTTAGGAGAGTAGATCCTTTGAATAAATATCTTGTTAATTTGTTGTGATATGCCTGCATTGCTAATGATGTCCAGTTCTGTTCTTCTTGGTTAATTCCATGTAAATACACAATGATCTAAATAATAACATGTGTAGAAGGCTATGTTATAAATGACAACTTATTCACACAACCTTTTATTCTGCCGGTAGGTTTGGTTTAAAAACCGAAGAGCAAAGTGGAGGCGCCAGAAAAGACTATCATATAGTGTGGGAAGCACATAAAATTAAATTTGTATTGTGCGTATTGCATGCATCATTGAAAAAGCAGAAAGCCATGTATGTGTGAGCGCTTAAGTTACATACATTTTTTGTAAATACTATTGTTATAAATAAAATAAAAAGCTACAACAATATCTTATCTTTAAATTGTTTTACTTTTTGTGTCAGTTAAATCAAGTGTCATATGTTTCATTTATTTCACTCTATTTGGAAGAAAAAAAGGTGAAAATGAACCTGACTTTATTCTCATAGATGTCCATATCAGTCTATATAAACCAGTGATTGTCTGGCTGGGGGCTCAGAAGATTACTGGTGGTATTACCTTTGTATTCTTTATCTTGGCAGATAACAGGGATCAGAGTTAAACTACTGGGAATAGCTATTGTTAGTTCTCTGAATGTATGTTTATATACCCAGGTATTACTTTACAAAGGGTGATGTCAATACTCTATTTGTAAGTGAGTAAACCTGACCTTAAACATTTTCTATAGAAATATGACATTACAGTTAGGCTATGCTTTATTTCAGACACATAGGTCTACATTTGTATACAAATAATCAAATCAAAACAATACCAACACAACGTTGGGGTTGCAGCCTGATCAGGGCACATACAGACATTTATTCTGATGTCTAAACTAAAGGAATAACTTGTTTCACTTTGTGTGTGCGCAGTTAATACTATTATGCTGAGCTTTCTTAATCAATTAATTGACATTTACATGAAAGGTGGGTGCATACTGGTCACAAAAATATGAAGTGCTCTTGTCCATCTTGTGAGTTGGACAAAGATTGTGAATGCGTCACTTGGAGCTCTTTGAATTTTTCTTTTCTGTAAATGCATCCATGTGGGAAATATAAATCGGGTAGTTTTACTATCATTTATTTTCAAGATTATTATAATGTAATTATAATTATGTAATGTTTGAAAAACTTAGATTGCAGGTTCCTCAACAGTGCAATTTACAATAAATAAAACAATAAATATAAAAAACACCTGTGCACTGTGTAGTTTATTTGTCAGCATATTAGTTTGTGCCTACAGTTTGTAGCACTGATGCTTTTCCCCACAGTTGGTCACCCATAAAGAATGAAGGAACAATGTTGCTTCTCCTTGATTTCAGCAATCATCATTACACTATTTTTAGATTTAGATTTAATATCATACATACTGCAGACAATAACTTGAGCAGAGTATGAAGAGTTGATTAATCTGCAATATTTATATTTAATATTAACTCCATCTCCTTTCCAATAACAAGTTGCATTATTAATATAATGAATATTAATGACTGATTTAAGTTGAAATGCATCTTATTTATTTTATTCTGGAAAGTTTGAGTGACGCATTAAACTTCCGGTTACGCAACATCTCAGACGTTGTTTTTACGCTGGTTCTGAAGTTAGCCGACTGTAACTAGTTAGCTAGCTAATTTGTTATACCTAGTGGCGTTCACGCAGTTTTAATTGTATAGTTGTATACTATTTACTCTAAATAATTAAGCTGTGTTTCCAAGGTACAACAGTCGTCTTCCGTTACGTTTTAGTCGGTGTTTGTTGGTAAACAATCGCCCTTAGCCGTTTAGCCTAGCAGGCTAACAGGGTCTACAATGGAGGGCAGCGCCAGCGTGAGGAAAGCTCTGTTCGGGACTCTAGTCCCTGTTACAGTCTCAACAATGGCTCTTCTCCAACAACCAGAGAAGGAGGACAAAGAAAAGACGAGGAGAAAGGTCCTCGATGAAGATAATTATATTGAGGTAACTAAATGACAGACTACGACGTAGGGACGAGCTATAAATTATCATCAACGTGCTGTGTTAGCGCGATTATTGCTAACAAATAAAAAGGTTAAATAGCATATTTAGTGTATTTTATAAACATACATTTGGTGTTTATCGTTGGTTGAGTCCAGTTGATTTAGTTATATCATTATCCTAAGTGTCCTTTAGCTTTGAAACTATTAAAAGGTGGTGTTTCATATCAGACATGTCCTAATTGGTGCATTAGGAAATTGATTGGCACTAATCTCTCTAAATATATAATACATAAAAACGTCCTGACTCGCTTGGGGCACTAGCAAGCCAAGTTACTATACCAGATGTCTGTGAGGCTGGTTTGAAGAAATAAATCAATTATACTATTTCTTGTATAGTAACGAAGAGAATGATGTTGTTTTACTTTTTGCAAAGTCCAATGTACCTGTCTTTCTACTTGTAACAGAGTCTGGAGAAGATCATCCAGCGGGACTTCTTCCCAGATGTGACTAAGCTGCAGGCGCAGAGGGAATATCTGGAAGCAGAGGAAACTGGTGACCTAGTGAGGATGAGAGAGATATCCATCCGCTATGGATCATCTTTGACTAAATCTACACCTCGGTCTTCTGCACCCTGTAAGTAGTATGAGCAGTCAAATAGAACATGATATGTTCACCATGTTATACATTTCGTACAGAATTAAAGATCCAATCTGTTCTTTGTAGGCCTACCTATTTACTTTTCTTTATTCCTGCAGATGTGACACCGGCTAGCTTTGAGACACCAGTGGGCGGCCCAGGGTCTCCTTCCTCGACTCTTGGAGGTAAAGGTTTCGATGGAGGTACGTATCTCATTTTTAAGAAGAAAAACAGACAACAAATCAATGTTCAGAGCATTATTTGTTTGTTTCTATGATGTCACACAACTGTCCAAAATTAAAACTTGTTTTGCAATAATACTCTGATGATTTGACTCACAATTGCTCAAGAGTAATTTAACCCTATTTCAATCGATGTTGTATTCACAGAGAGCAAGTGCGGCGACAAGGAGGAGAAAGAGCTGCCCTGTCTGGATCGCTTCCTTGCTAAAAATACCAGTGAGGATAATGCATCATTTGAGCAGATCATGGATTTGGCAGAAGACAAGAACAGGCTAAGGCATTCCTGGTTATACGAGGCTGAAACTGAATACAAAGAGGTATGTGTTTGGAGAATCGTTTCGAATTCAATCAAACTACTTGGGATAACAGGTGTGCTGATCATAGACCTATTATAATTTGATAAACATTTGATTGACAAAATTGTTGCATGTAATATTTCTGTCAGGTTCAAGTTTGAAGTTAAAGGGATAGTGGAAATGGAACCTCAAATAGTTTCGTTTTAACTTATATACAAGCATAATTACGTACCAAAACAATCACACCTGATTAAAAAAATATAATAATTGCCTTACGCATGTTAGAAGCACTTTATTGCAGCTTCCCCGAAGTTTTTTAGAAACGAAATGTTCGACTCAGCCAAACCGGAAGTGACGAAAACTCAGGAAGACTATACGATAACAAACTATGGCGTCTAAGAATGAACGTGGAAGGGCAAATATACCAGACAAAGAAGAAGGATTGTACGAGGTATCCAGTGATGATAGCGAGTCAGAAACATCCACTCGGCTTTCCTACGAAAATGTCGTTTTAGGAACTGAATCTGAATCCGGTTCAGTAAGCGACGATGGTGACAATATTGAGCCAGACGATGGACCATTACGTCCTTATTTGTTCGAGCCCGAGCCCAAGGTGATGGTTCACGGCATGGGCAATGGCGAGGATGACCAGGACCAGGCGCCAGATGATGCACCCCTACGCACAAATAATCTTGACTGGTAGGTCCCTAAGCATAGCTCACGCATCTTAAGATCACCTGTAGCCTTTACAAATATTAATCATTGTTAACCAGTTAATCCCGAAGGTCCCCCCAGTGGACCCCTCCCACAGTTTTTTCTCTCTCACATGTCTCAGGGCTTCTTAACATTTATGAAACTATTAATGTTTCATACCCTTTTAAAGGTAAGAAACTCCGCTAACTGACAATAATTTATGGCAATATACTCGGTATAAAGTATTGCCGTCTTACAGTCTTATAGTATTACCTATAGTGAAAATGTCTGAACAAATTTCACCCACTGACGACGAATGGCTGGGTTTCTTGGAAACGCATGAGTCGATACGCCATTCTCTGCATTTGCTGTCGCACTACAGCCATACAAAACACATCTATTCACCATAATAAAGGTCGGCTATTCACATGCAAATGCTATTGAATGTCCGCCATTGTTTGTGCCCGTCTTCCTCTGCTCTCGTCATCACCCGAAGATTCCCGACGATTCCCGAAGTATTTCGTTTCATTGAGAGGGCGCAGTAAAATTGAAAATAAAATGAAACTAGGCGCATTAAATTAAAAAAAATTGTTTATTATGCTTATTTTTAATACAAATACATAAGTTAAACCCAAAATTTGCGGATTTCCACTATCCCTTTAAGTCCTGCTCATAAAGCCGTATCTTTTTGGGTTATGAACATTGCGCGATTCTTTTACAGTTCCAGTTGATCTTTGGTACATTCCTTCACGGTATTACAAATGTTTTTTTGACTTGTTTGTTCAGCGCCATGAACAGAATCTTGCATTGCCATCAGTAGAGAAAGGAGCACTTGAATGTGTCAAAGCTGGACTCGAGACATGGGAGTACAAAGCAAAGAATGCCTTGATGTATTATCCAGAAGGTAAGTAGACCACACTTGAATTTCATTTCATTTCAGACATAAATAGGTTTTGAAGGCATGTTATTGATCACATTTAGCTGTACACGAAGAGAGATTTTCATGTTGTTTCACATGTTTAATTTTTGTTTAGGTGTTAAAGATGATGATGATCAATTTAAGAAGCCACGGGAGGTCATTCACAAGAACACACGCTTTGTTGGAGACCCATTCAGCAAAGCTCTCAACAAAAGCCAGATTCAGCAGGCTGCAGCTCTCAATGCACAGGTACCTTTCAGGAATATGGGTTATAAAAACATTGATGTTTGGCCTACATGATGTGCCCCATACTTGTGAATGCAGCATGACAGTCTTTTCTTGTTGAATCAGAGTGCTTGTTTGAGAGTGATGCAGCTAATGCATCTCGTTTTCTGTCCAGTTCAAACAGGGTAAAGTAGGCCCCGATGGTAAAGAGCTCATCCCACATGAATCCCCAACAGTGAATGGATATGGTTTTGAAAGCATGCCATCCCCTGCACCTGGTAAGTGGATCTTTAATCCTCCTCATTATAGTTACACTCCTGAGACAGATACAACTAAATGTTTCCTTAAAGGCTCATTCAGCAATTACATGCTTTTTGAGAAGAGTTCTGAAAGCAGTTTCTGTCCCATCAGGTGGAGCCGAGTCGCCTCTAATGACCTGGGGTGAGATCGAGAGCACCCCCTTTCGCCTGGACGGATCAGACAGCCCTTATGTTGAGAGGAATCATGGACCATCATTTAAGGTACTGACCCCACATAGGTATCTGTTTTGTTTATGAGTTGTTAAGTTGTAAGATGTTTACATTGTACGTTGTTTCTTTAAAGATTCCAGAACCAGGACGGCGAGAGAGGCTGGGAATAAAGATGGCCAATGAAGCTGCAGCTAAAAACCGTGCAAAGAAACAGGAGGCGTGGCGAAAGGTCACAGAGAACCTTGCAAGGTAAAAACGGATCTTCTGCAGTCTTGATTATATCTGCTTCTATGTGAATCTGTCAAATCCTGCCTTGAAAAGGGGATGTTGAGCTTAAATGTAATTGGTTTAGGCTATTTGTTTTCTTTATTACTGCAGGTGTGAAGGAATCCATAGTATTATAAACTAACTGACCTCATCAACTTTTGTGTTGCAGTCTTACGCCTAAAGGTCTGAGTCCAGCGCTAACCCCCGCCCTGCAGAGGCTTGTTAATCGGACATCAAGCAAATACACAGACAAAGCACTCCGAGCGAGCTACACCCCGTCGCCCTCACATGGAGTCTGCAAGTCTCCCTTCGGTGGCCCATCCACTCCCTCTGGAACGCCAACGCCGACCAAAGCCAAGACGCCGAGCTCTCAGGACCTTACATCACTCACAGACAATCTGCTGCAACTGCCCAAGAGACGGAAAGCCGCAGACTATTTCTAAGGAAATTGTACAAAACAGACATATTCTGACAAGAAGAACTTGATTATGAACTGCCCAGACACAGATTTGTCAAGTTAAATCGCACATCTTTCAGCTGGTTGACGGATAAAGAAATCCAGGAAGACCGAAGATTTTTTTATGGATTTTCTTTTATTACTTTTTGCTCAGATGTTTTTATGTAGACCCCTGTGAAAAAGTGTCTACATTATATTTAATTACTATATTTTTTATATTTTGTTTTATCCCTAATGCAAGATGTCATAGATTTTTGAACAGCTGTTTCCACCTACCCGGCACATCAAATTAAATCAGTATAACACAGTAGCTCTTTCTGAGAATGACACTTATAATTGAGTTTTCGACGCTCAGCCAGGAGGCTGAGGCTTCGCCCAGCTCTCGATACAAGCTGCCAAAACATTTGAGTGTTTGTCTCTGCATTATAAAGAAAAATCAAAGTGATGTGTTTTGTTACTGTAAAAAGGGTTTTCCCAGTGTCACACTATGTTGTTGTAACAATAAATCAGGTTTTTTTTGTTAAACAGCTCTGTCTAATTGATGAATTTTCTTTTACCTTCTAAATGTATAGTTGAAAATGTTTTTCAAACACACTTGAACTCGGCATCATACATTTTTTCATTTTCACTTAAATCTAAAAGATAAAATGTTGTACATTTTTTGCACAAACTAATTTAAGCTTTAAGTCTAGTCATACTATTCTGTCTGCAACATGTCCTGAGTTTATTTTGCGGGGGGGGGGCATCAGAGGTTACAGGTTCAACAAATGCAGTCAGGTGAGGTTGTCCTGGTATGTGGGCAAGCCAACACACAGACAAACTGTAGCTTAATTTACAACTTCACCTTCACGCTGCAAACACAGTTTTTCCTGCATCACTAGTGGTCCTTTGACGTAGGGACGACTACGGGCTATTTCTGCTTGGATTTGTTTAGTCACTGCCCTGGAAAGCCAGGGGGTGCACATGCGATGATGCTGGACAAAATGAAACTTTCTTGTTCTCTTGAGTGCAATGGATGTTATTATGGAGGATACATATATTCATATATATATATATATACATATATATATTGAATCAACTTCAAAGTCCTCATTACTCACAAAGCCCTCAACAATCAGGCCCCCCCCCTACCTCACAGACCTGCTGCACCACCACGCCCCTTCCCGCTGCCACCTAGACATAAAAACATGACATAACATGAATATCGTGACAAAAAACTGTCCTGTGAAACAATGCAGAGAGAGACACAAACTCACAGTGCATGGATCACTAATGGCTTCAATATAGACAATTCATAAAATATAGAACTTCAGACACAGAAAATAAATATAAAAGATATAAGAATAAATTAGCCAATATTATGAGAATATGTAAAAAAGAATACTATATTAAAATATTAGAGAATAATAAGAATAATATGAAAGGTTTATGGAAGGTATTAAATAGTATCATTAGAAATGGAGCAAAAAGTTCAGGTTACCCTAAGTTTTTTGTTGACAAAGATAATGTTATCAATAATACAGAAGATGTGGTTTTACCAATCCTCTGTAAATGTGGGGCCAGATCTGGCAGAAAAAATTAAAACCGTAGAAACAACTAAAGGGGAAGATACGGACCTCTGGAATGAAAACAATAGCTCTTTCTTCCTCAGAGCAGTCGAAGAAAAATAAATCATAGACACTGTACGAAAATGTAAAAGCAAATCCTCGACCGATTGGAATAATATTGATATGATTATAGTAAAATACATTATTGAAGAAATTGCAGAACCATTAACACATCTTTGTAACTTGTCTTCTCAATCTGGTAAATTCCCTAATAAAATGAAAATAGCTAAAGTTATACCATTATATAAAACTGGGGATAAACACCATTACACAAATTACAGGCCTGTTTTTTTGCTCTCCCAGTTTTCCAAGATCCTTGAAAAGCTTTTTACAAAAATACTTGACAATTTAATGGAAACACATCAGCTTTTGGACGACAGTCAATATGGATTCAGGAACATCTATGGCACTAATGGAATTAAGTGAGGAAATAGCAAACTGCATGGACAATAAAAAAAACAAGCAGTGGGAATATTTATAGACCTACAAAAAGCATTTGACACCATAGATCACAACATTTTACTGACAAAACTGGAACGGTATGGCATCAGAGGGGTGGGATTAGACTGGGTGAGAGATTATTTAAGCAACAGACAACAATTTGTTGAAATAGGTGAACATAAATCAGAATACATGAACATAATTTGTGGAGTACCTCAGGGGTCTGTGTTGGGTCCAAAGCTGTTCATCATATATTATACATCAACGATATTTGCAGAGTATCAAATATATTGAAATGTATTTTATTTGCAGATGATACTAATATTTGTTGTTCTGGTGACAATTTGAAAGAGCTAATGGAAGTGATAACAGCAGAAATTATTAAAGTAAAACATTGGTTTGATAAGAACACATTATCATTCAACATAAGCAAAACAAATATTATGCTATTTGGAAAACATAAAATAAATTCACAGGTGCAATTAATCCTAGACAACATAAACATAGAAAGATTATATGTAAATAAGTTCATTGGTGTGGTTTTGGACCACAAAATCAGCTGGAAACTTCATATCAATCATGTAAAAGCAAAACTGGCTAAGACTATCGCAATATTGGGAAAAGCAAGACACATTCTGGAATACAAATCATGATATACTATGTATAATACACTCATATATTGCCATATCTGAGTTACTGTGTGGAGATTTGGGGGAAACACTTACAAAACCAACCTACAGCCATTATGCACATTACAAATAAAGGGCTATAAGAATAATCAATAATGTTAGATATCTTGAACACACTAATGCATTATTCTTGAAGTCACACACACTGAATTTTACCGATCTGGTTACAATTAAAACTGCACAAATCATGTACAGAGCAATAAATAATCTACTTCAAATTACAAACATTGTTCATAGATAGAGGGTGGGTATAATTTGAGAGGAAATCTACATTTTAAACAACTCTAGGTCAGAACAACTCTGAGAAGTATGTGCATAACAATCTGTGGGGTGATTTTATGGAATGGTTTGGAGCAGGAGTTAAAACAAAGCACAAGCATAATTCAGTTTAAAAGTATGTACAGAAACACTTTTTGGGAAAACTATGAGAATGAAGAGAGGTGATTGAAGATGAGAAATTATTGTAAATGTATGTATGTAAATATGTAAGTAGGAATAACGTGCATAAATGATTTAGGATAATCATTGATCAGCAGTAAGTAAGGGGTGGGAATTATAAGCATTTGCTTCCTCCTGCTCCCTTTCGGACACATATGATTTATTATTATTATGAATATTTTTGTTGAATATATAAATATTATTATGAATATTGATAAATACTGTATTCTAACAATACGGTATTCTGTTTTTCACATTTGCTATTTTTTATTAGTTTTTTTAATCTGTTCGAAATAAAGATTGAAATGAAAAAAATGAAAATGAACACAGTTTGAAAATCCTGAGATTATGATTTTTTTCCTGTAAAGCAACACCTGCACTCCTTTATGTTCATGACCTTTGATGATACAATGAACATTCCTAACATACCACTTCCTGCAGGCATTGTACTCTACATATGCCTGACAATGGGTGTTACAGAGTTTGATATATTTCCGATATAAAAAAGTAAATCATAAAAAAGACAAGGACTCACTGTTGTGATGTTTGTATCTTGGAGTTTAACCCATGGGCAATCACACAAGGTCAAATAGGTCAGACTGTCCTATAAAGACAATGCGATATGGTTGGAAATGCTTATTCATACATTTTTGTAGTTACAAGGTTTCTCAAGTATCCCAAACAAAAACACAAACGCATAATTTTATGAATGATTTGAGTGGAATGATTTAGGCTGGAAACATTTCTGCTTAATTGGAGTGATGAATTACGTGAATTTGCAACCGGTGAACTATGTTGTTCCCTTTAATTATGTTTTTTAATGAGTACAATCACACTTCATCAAAGTCTTCTGATAAGCGTAACTAACATGAAAATACAAAGCCCAGTACCAGGAGCAGCTTTCATTATCTGTTTGACAAACTGCGCCATTCCGCTCACTGATAACACATTGGGTTGAATTCATTTTAAAAATAATCTCAAGGGGCGTGCACACACATTGGGTTATCGTCTGTCCCTCTGGGTCTGAGCAGCTAAACTCCGCCCCGGCAGCTCTTCCAGCTGATAGCCTGTGTTGGTGTTAGAATATTTGGGATTGTTGTGATTTGAGGCCGCGGCCATCTTGGATCAACTCTGCTCCACACTGAGCAGCAAGAGAGGAAGGAGGACGTGAACGGCTGAGCTAACGTTAGCTGCTCGAAGAGATTAACCACAATTTGTGTCGCTGTGCGGTGCGACTATGCTTCATGTGCGATATTTTTCTTTTATATATGCATCTTTGAGTGCATACACATGGCTATAAACTGTTGTAAACGGTCAACGTTATAACTCCGGAGAGGGCGGCGGCGGCGGCGCATATCCTCGGTATATGTTTTAAATTTCTGGATAGAGGAGTAACTATGAATGGAGGATAAATGTTGCCAAAGGCTGACAGCAGCAGTTTCGTCCTCTTCTCTCTTCTCTTTGTCCTCACATTAACGGACCCACCACGGACAGGTAAATACATCCTAGTTGTTTTCCTTTGCATGCACTCCTGTGGGCTCGAAACCGAGATTACAGCTGTAAGCAGAAAGCAGCGGAAAGGCCTGCTGGATAAACCGGGGGCTCTGGTGATTTTTAACCCGCTGCTGTGGTACTGCTGGACGGCGTGCAAGACCGCCATGCTGTCGCCACTGTAGCAATAATGAAAATAAGTCATATCGTTAATCTTGAAATAACAAACACTTTAATATTATTACAGTCCACACAGCCACATTATAATACAAAACTAACATTTTTTCACATTCTTCTTTCATAAGCTATTTTTCACACTTATATTATAAATAGGGCTGCATTGTGAAATTGTGTTATAGAGCTTTAACTTCAGCTATATTATAAAAGCTGTGTATTTAACAGGCATTTCAACCTAGGTGTGTTTGCCCTCCACTGTATTCCCTGGATGATGTCCGCTTTTGATGCGAAGGTGTAATTTAAAATGCATGTCAGATATTCATGTTCCTGCATCACAAAAGCTGGCTCTCATGACTCATCCTTTAGCTCCACAGTTATACATTTTGGAGTCATAACTGCACAGCAATGTATTTGTCATGACACTTTCCTAAAGATGCTTTTATGCAGCACATACTGCAGATAGATACATATATGACTTATTAAAACATACACAACCTTTAATAACAAAAACATAATCTGGATGTCTTTAAAAAAAATGAAATTGCCATTCAGTATTGGTACACCAAAGTCCTCTTAGGTACTAACTTCTTTCACAAGATGCCACAGGCAACTGATTTAATGTCATTTTGCTTTGATTGCAAACACTTGAAAAGGCTTTCACAGATTCTTTCAAGCATAAAGAACAAAAGCATCTTGTGGTTTCCTTGGGGCCGATCTTGTGATCCTTATACAATCATGTGGATTGTAAAGTTCAAGTCGTGTATAAACACTTTATTGTTTGGTTTTCTAAAAAGGAGTGTCCAGACAGCGCAGTACATATAACACTGCATTCTTCTTATGGTTTATTTGTGTTCTTGGTAAATATATTAGGAGGCTCTTAATGGTATATTTGCACTCACGTATATAGTGTTATCAGCTGTAATTATTCACCTTTTAGGTCGTTATTTACTCTAATGCTCAACAGAAAACACGACGCCTGTTTTGTGCTTAAAGCCTTTCCCTGGGTTTGAAACCACTAGTTGTTTTGGGGATAGTGTGGCCTTCATGCCAAGCCTCCTACACAGTGGGGACAATCGGTTTTTAATCGTATTTTGCACAGTCTGTGTCACAGAGGATGTGTTTTTGTGGAGCATGCTGGTGCACATTAAGTGCACGCTTCCCAAAGCTTGATTCCCACACATAACTTGAACATTCATTTGAGGGATAATCCAGTTTTCTGGAACATAATTCAATAAAACGTAAACGCGTAGGTGTACCATGAAAGTGTTTTGGTTACACAGGTATGCTTGAGCCATATTTCAGCTTCTTTCAGAATGCATCATACAATCACATGGCTGTTTAAATGGGATCATTGCCTTCAGTTCTAGGTAGTGGTGAGTAGTGAGCTAGGCAACATTCAAATGTAGTTTTGGATTAACCCAGTCAAACATTTGGGTGAGGTGCTTTTTAATTATAAACCCCATTATCACCCTTAGTACCCACTCTAGATTACACTCTGTTGGTTGCTCCTGCATGTATGATTGACATTACTGTGCTCAGTATTGCAAAATGATGTGACGGATGTAAAAACTGAAATACTTAAGATGATCATATACACAGTGCGGTGGCTCGGTGGTTAGCGCATGTGCATGTCGTGTGGTGGCCACAAACTACAGATAGGAACATGCTTCAGGATCATAACTATGTTGTCCACCTGATTATTGTGACCATTTGTACCGTGGGCAAACTTCTGCGATGCAATGGCAATGTTTAGTAATGGAAGCTTTACGGTTTGTGTTTTGCGTACCAGCATTCACAGATTGGAACTCCAGGCAGTAGACTATACTTCAATGCAGTTGAGTGCAGATCATTAGCGTTCTACTGTTTATTGTCTTAATGAAAAGCCATTCGTTCATTCTTACAACATAACAACTATAATCCTTCTTTAGATTATTGGCTTACAATGGGGGAAAAAAAGTGATCCACCAATAAGTACGGTGTTTTTGAAAACCGAAAATATTCAATTGGTAAACAAATTTATATTATTATTCGGTTGTAATGTTTTATCAGGTTTATTGATGTGTTAAGAAGTAACAATAACACAGAGACATCGGCCACTGAAACATTTTGCAACATGTCGCTCGTGCTGATTGTTGCTATATGTGCAGGAAATGAAAATGTTGGGATGACTGTGTCACAGGGAAGAAATATTTTAGCAACATGTTGGAAAACCAAGAGTCTTGTACAGATACCCCACCAGCTGCCTTCAGATAAATCCTTGATATCTTATGATCTGGGTCCCTTAACAATAATGCGTGTTATGCCTGGAACACTACTCTTCATATATTAACATTTACTCCTCCATTTACTCTGTATTAAAGTAATCCTGTTTATCATTATTAGTGTCAGCGTTGTCATATTAGTACTGAGAAGTGAAAGTTACAAGCCTTTCAGGGCAACAGGCCTACATTTCCAGGTCTGTACAGAATCATTTGGAGCTTCATTCATAACGTTGACATTTCAATTCTAGCCTGCATGTCTATTCAGTTAAACCCTCTGTTTCTGCATGTTAAGATTAGGCTATTATAGTTAGTTTTATAGGGGTTGCTTTATAGCATTGTTTCCTAATCATGTGATCCAAACAAATAACTCCAGAGAGTTCTAAGTAGTGAAGTCTAAATGTAGTTAACAAAACGGATGTTATCATTTCCAAAGTAAAAAAACCCCAAAATAAGCTGATTCAATCCATTTACCTTTATTAAATAACAATTATACTGAGGTCAAAATACATGCAGGTGTAGCGTTAGTGAGTTATGAATGCATGAACATGTGTATGCTGCTCATACATTGTTGAAATAATTGTGTATATTACGATTGTTGTTATGTAGGTTACCCATCTAATAGTGGCGCACCACCGAATATCCTGGGTTTGAAGAAATAGTGGTTTTATCCACACAGTGTTAGGAAAATGTATTAGTTTTGAATGTGGCTCGGCATAAAGAAAGAAAGACATGTCCGTACCCTCTCGCTGCTTCTAACAGTGAGCCTCAGTGTTGATGTGAATCACCAGCGGCTGGAGATGATGCAGTGTGTGCACAGAGCCAACTCACTGTGCCGTTATACTCCGGTGAGACCGAGTTCGTGGTCTTTATTGTATTTCCTGTGGGTTATGTAAGAGATGCAGGGGCTCACTTGTCTCAGGGTAGCCAGTGTTCACTCATTTGAAGACTCAACATTACAAGATCCAAAGCCTGGGAGAGAAACCGCCTTAATATCATTTTATTTTTATCCTGCTAGCCCATGGCCTTAACTGCTCTATTTGTCATGCATCAGTCACTAATGCAGTGATTACCAGGCAGATGCATACAGCGGTTAGATACAGTATGCGTGCATGTATGTTGAGCACATACATTACCTTACGTCAGCATGTTGTATTGCCATTGTCTTCCTCTCTTTTACCTCAAAACAACACATTACCATCCTTATCCAATGTGTGCAGTACAACCTTTTTCTGATTAAATCCCCACAAATCAGAAAGGGAAAGAGGAGCTTTTAGGCAGCTGTTAATGGATGCAGATACTCCATGCACATCTCCAGAAAGTTCAAATAACAACAAGGAAAGTGCTCTTTAACTTGAAGCTGTAACGGATAGACTTTTCTTTTTTTTTTACAACTCTTTCAAGTCATAATCCAGCAAACGACAAGAAGTAAGAACAGTAATAATCAATACAAAACGGTACAGATGTTACAATTAGTGAATAAAGACAATGGGGATCATTACAAAGGACCTCCTTGAAGACTTTTTTTTTTTTTTAAACTGGAGATGCTCAATAGCCTATGGAATCTGATCAAATTCTACTCCTTGTGAATTTTCCTGCAGAAGCTAGCTCTATAGCACAGAGAGAAAGCATGAATGAACACTGATCTGTGCTGGCAGCAAGTCTATCTTCAAACCACAGAAAATACAAACCAAGCACTTATTTCCCAGTCTTGAGAACATGCAGATACAGCTTAAAAAGAGTCAGCTACATTTCGATAAACAGTCTTCCGCTCCCAAGCCTCCCAGTGAGCTGATAAAGCAACAAGTCCTACAATATGTATTATTGAACAAATAGGTTCATTAAAAAATAAAACCTTGGCTTTCAGAGGACTGTTACATCACCCTGTATTCACATACTGGCAATGCTTCCATCTCCATCTGGTGAAGGTGTTCAAATCATGTTCTCATAAATAGTGTGCATACATGATTAGAGATGTATTTTCACATCATTTAATATCCTGCAATGCACTTTAACGGTACGCCCACACGGCTCCGTCGCGTGCTTCAACGGAGACGCTTGCCATTCACTTTGAATGGGGTGACGTCAAGCTTTGCCGAATTGCATTGTGGTTCCGTCGCGTCGCTTTGCCTCCGTTGCTCGCTTCGAAAGTTGAGAAAAATTCAACTTTTCAAGCGTCGACGGAAGCGCTAGCCAATCAAATCATATGCCAGTACAAGCGCTAGCCAATCAAACCGTGTGCTTGTGTGTCCGGGGCGGGAGATGAATGTGATTGGTTGTTGGTCGTGCACCAGACACGCCCACACAATGCAGTTCGGCAAAGCTTGACGTCACCCCATTCAAAGTGAATGGGAAGCGTCTCCGTTGAAGCATGCAACGGAACCGTGTGGACGTACCGTAAATGGGATTGACCATCGTCTTTGAAAGCTTGTGTAGTATATTATTCTGAATGCATTAATTATTAACATCACATTTGGGATAAATCCACTCTAATGTTATCCATCAATTTGACACGTATTCTGACTCGAAGGGATTGAGAATGATGATGCATTCAGTCCCAGGAGCCTGAGACTCATTTGTAATGCGTCTCAGTGCACTTAGCATTAACCCATATGAGCTGGCTGTGTTAGACAGCTAGGCAGAGCAAGGTCTGCATTCATGTCAGCCTTAAAGGATAGGATTACTTTAGTTTAAACTGACCTTTTTTACAAGTCATTCATAGCCAATATGTCTATGTCATGCAAGTGAGATTAATTCTCTTTCTAAGTCATGTTTCTTAACCTTGTCCCAGTGACTTCCTTTGAGCAAATGAAGTGACCAGGAGGTTGTGCAATGTTTATTCTGACCTTTGTTACAGTAGACATGTTGCATCTGGTGTCATGGGAGATTCCTGTTTTTGAAAATATGATATATTTTTTAAAGTCTGAACTATCATCCTGCTGGGTTGTATTGCATTTGAATGTTTAGTTTCTGAAAAGAAGCTATAAGTAGGGCTGCACTCAGATTGGGAAATAATGAGAATGATTTGAATTACATCTGGTTGTAAATCAATCCTTTCCCCTTCCAATTTTGCATTGCATTTCCAAGCCAAATGCCACATTCATTTTTCTTCCTTTACAGACTTTTATTATCTTTATCTGTTGCTCTGTGGGACCATCACTGTGTGGTCTGTGTGTGGTCTATCACCTGGGCTGGTGGGTACACAGATGAAACAATAGTCACTTGAAATAGCTCTGAGCTTTTTTTTCTAAGTAAAAATAGAGATGCCAATATTTGTTGTCTGGTCAGTGGGTGGTCCAGCTTTATTGAAGGTAAACAGAAACCACCTGTAACCCAGAGCAGATGGCATCATGGACCCTCTACTGGGGAATCACTGAGCACTGTCACATGCCAGAGAATTGTTGACAGTATAAATATGAAATATCCTTATAGACAACATAATAAGCAGCACACACAGGATGATACTGTGTCCCCTAACAAAACAACGCATTGATATACAGGAGAGTCACTCTTACTGTTTTATTTGTTGCAGGTCCGCGGCTAGCTCTGGCAAGATTATTGTCAGGTAAGCACGCAGTTTATCTCTTAGTGTAGTGGCTGTCTGTTTTGGTTTTAATATATCAGCAGTTTGAACTAATACTGACACATCTTTAATAGTTTCCTAATAAATAGATAATGTTTTATAAGAAGCCAATATCATTTACCTTCATAAGAACAGTATTAGAGTGAGTTGAACTTTCTCACTGTGATCAGTAAACTTGTGTGGCCCTTCTAGAGTTTGTTTATAGACTCTCGTTGTTCTTTCACGAGGAAGGCAGGGCCACTCTTAATTGCACATGATGGCGTGGAGACCCACTTAGCACAGACTGTGCTGCTGAAGGGTATTGACAAACAAAGAGACTTTAAGAGTGTCTCTGCTGCCACTGTTATTCCAAGAAATGCCTACAAAAGTGTTATTATTTTTCTTTTCAATACAAGACAACACATTTCTATGTTTCTCTAGACTTATATAAACATATCAGTTGCCAGTGGCATTGGATTTTCTTTTCTGAGTACTACCAATTATCTTTTATGTCTCAGTATTGAGTCGGTGAATGGGCTAACATGCTGACAATTGAGTATTTATACTGTCCATAGTGCAGTGATATTGCTGGTTTAATTTGACAGTGATTTTCTCAGTTTGCACCGAGTCGCTAACAGCAATAACATTGAAAATCTGTTTATATTTCCTGAAATTCTCACCTCATCTAAGATCTCTTAGTTATCAGCATGACCTCATTCATTCCTCTTCTAACATGAAATGGTTGTCTCTTGTTTGGAAGAGTCACAGTCACGTGCAGTTTTTGACCACTGGATCTCTCTCTTGTGTTTTAGAGCAGCGTTGCAGCCCTGGGCAGTTCGCCTGCCGCAGTGGGAAGATGCAATGTATCCCAATGTCCTGGCAGTGTGACGGCTGGACAGCATGTGAGGACAAGAGCGACGAGATGGACTGTCCCCGTGAGTATAGCTCACTTATGCCCTTTTACACCCGCTCTGTTATACAACACCCATAACATGATTGATTTCTGGAAAGAATAGCAACACCCGGGACCTTTTCACACTCGAGCGATTGGATCACAGCCGGACGGCTCTAAACACAGATTTGAAAGCATCCACAAGGTTTAAGTGACGCACTGGGATCTAATGGAGCGACATCTAGAGATTGTTTATTGGTGCATGTGAACCACGTGTGAAAAGAAGTGGCCTGTGGTGTGAGCGCAAAATGCATCACTGTCCCGAAGGCTGTTCAAGGTTCAAATCAAAGGTTTTATTGTTATATTCACAACAGCTACAGCATAGTTGTTGGTAATGAAAATCCCCAGGCTCCTCGGCCATTTGACTTACAGTGTACTTAAAGGTCCCCTATTATACTGTTGTTCATCAATATATTATAGGTCTCAGATATATACAAAACATGTCTCTGAAGTGTTTGGCTCGAAATACCAAACAGATCGTGCATTGTAGTGTCCCATAATCCCCTCTGTTTCAGCCCTGTTTCAAAAGTGCTGATTCTCTGTCTGTTACTTTAGATGAAAATAAGGGGCCACTCCCCACGCCCCTCTGAGAGAGAATTGGTTAAAAAGAACACAATGGTGCTCTAGGAGGAGATTCAGACCCCGTTTACACAAGGACGAAACGGGTTGTATCCGCATAGTTTCTGTTGCGTATCCCCTTTCGTTTACACGAGGCCGTAACAAAACGATAGAAACGGACCCCGCAAACAATAACGGGTCCCAAGATGGATAGATCTTCAAACGGAACGCTCTGGGGGGGGTCAAACGGATCCGTCTGTACGCCTCTATACGATCATTTTCTGATAACGATGAGATAGCCCCGCCTCCCTCTCCCCAGTCTCCTGCTCAGAGGTCAGCTGTTAGGCTGTCAGAAGAGGGGGAGGAATAGAGAGGCTCCGTTTATTATTATTATACAGAGTCGTTATCAATTTGTTTTAAAGCTCAACAAATAACAAAGAAGACCTCTGACCGGCGCTTTTCTAATTTTGTACAGAAGATTTCAACTTTAACGGACATGTTGACTGGCGAAAAAAAAATGTTAACGGAAACTCTGCCGCACGGTTCCCTCGTCCCTTGGAAGAGGCAGAGAGGTGGGTGTTTTTCATCTGCTGGTGGACTACCGGAGAGATATACAGCAGGAGCACACGCCGTCCACCGCGGAGAATAAACAGAAGGGCAACCATGGCAACCATGCTCTGGGGTCTTCTTCGCTGCTTGTGGTGTATTTTGTGGCGGCAGCAGCGTCACTTACAGGCCTGGCATATGTACTACAGCGTTTCCAATGGTCTCGTGTGAACGGACACGTTAATGAATCGAATGCGTGTGAACCTGTGAACGGAAGACTTTTTTGAAAACGCATACGGTGCGCAAACGTTCCCGTGTAAATGGGGTCTCAGGTGATAAGGGAGGGGGGGGGTTACCTGATTGGTGATTGGCTAATGGTCATACAAGCCAAACAATCGTTATGACATCATAAAGTGGCCAAAATCTGATCAGCTCATTTTCAGACAGGTTTTTATATAAATGGATCGGGACAAAAAAGTGAGCGAATCTTTGTTCCTGAAACTTTCAGAATCTCTTTTCACAGAGGGGGGACACATGTTTATGTATAAAAGACATGAACAAGTGGATTTTGCATAATAGGTGACCTTTAAGATATAAAATAAACAAAGAAAAAGATAGGGAAATAAAATGGTGCAAGTAAAATGCTGGAGGAAGAAGAAAACTATATACATTTTAAATAGAATTTGAAATACTGTAGAGTAAAATAAAATACTCTAATAAGCAGCAATTGTAAAGTTTCCACAAAAAAAAAGAAGATCAATCCATCTTATCTTTAACTAAAGCGCTCAGAAGTGGTTTTAGCCTGCAGGTACTAAAAGGTCCTCCATATCCAACACAGGGATTATCAATTGGGGACTATCAGCTCATTGACGGTGTCAGATGGCAGGGGGGGGGGGGCAGAGTTAAACTTTGAGTGGCTGCACATGTGTCTCTGTTGTTGTTTACCGCTGCTTGATCTCCTCAATACCACATGGAGGTTGCAGTGCTAAGCCTTTGACCAAAATCCTATTGTTTTCCGCTCTTAAATCCGGAGAGACCTTATCCCCAGATCTCTGACCGCATAATAGGAATTATTGAAAGGATTGAGTTCAGCGTGTGATGGCGCGAGCTCTTGAGTCAACGCTGCAGCCTGCCAACATCACTGCTAATGGCTAACAGTGGATCCTATTCATTCTTCAGGGAAAACACATTTGTAGAACAGGCCGTTAAAGCAGCAATTGTTTTCTCTGTTTATTTAACCACAAAAGGTACTAAACACAAAAGCAGTTTATTCTGCATGTTCAAAAGCAGAACATGCAGATTATTAGCATTATTGAAACGCTGATGATTGTAAAAGCTGAACATGATGTACTATCCACTTCAGATGTGCTCTGTGTTCTTTCATAGAGGACGGCAAGAAAAGGCCAAACAATGCTCACACATGCCTCGGCGAGGGCTCATTGTCTACTGAATCAACAGCATGCATGGAAATCAATGTTCTTCTTTGGGATTAGCTCTTTGTTGAATAACATGGAGAGGTGGAACAAGCCCTCGCACTAACTCCAGCGGGACAAATACTAGCAGAAACTGTTCAACCTTATAACTTTACTGCAAGTTAAAGAGGGAAAGGTGTTGTATAAGTATCTGGTTGGCAAGAAGCACATTGCACACAATAGAAAGGTAAGCAAGGCTGCACACCAAAGAACAGTTGCATTCATATTATTGTTAAATCATTTAGAAACTAAAACAGAATTATGTCAAATAAGTGTAACCTAAAAAAATGCTTTAAATGATTGCTAGTTAGTTTGTTAAAAAACAAATTGTTGTTGATTTTTGTAAGACTTTACTTCACACATTTGATGGCATAAAACATCAAACTAGTAACAATAATTAGATATTCGTCAATTCATCAATTAAACCCCAGTCTTGAATTCCCTGTATGCAGACAATGCTGCGATTGTAGATTTTAATCACTGTAAACTCCAGAAGATACATATAACACTGCTTTAATGTTGATGTTTTTTTTTAACAAAGTAAGACTTTGGTTCGGCTTTTATCTTCCTCAAATATGTCAACTTCCTTCTTATTTTCTGAGTTGAAGATGGATAATAAGATACAAACTTCTTGTTTCTTCATCCCTGTCTTAAGTAATGAACCTCGACACGGGAAGAAATGTTCATCTGAGTCACATAAATAAATAATAAGTGAGAGAAAGAGAAGTGTTCCCAGGGCGATATCAACATTAGTCGGTGGAGATTATTAAATATGTAAGCTTAGTGCTGAGTTATTATTATTTTTAAGAAAAGGGCCTTTGCACGCAGAACATGGATTTATCACGCAGAGCTGGAGCAGAAGCTTTATTTATTAATGAGGATATCAGACAAATAAAACGCCTGGTTTATTACATCAGGCTTTTAACAGATTGCACAACATTAGCCAATATGTGCAATGAAAACAAACAATTCTTTTAAACAGATATACAGGTAGTTGAAAAACATGTCCACCCTGTTTGACCATGAGTCATTTTTTGTAACATCTGCTGCACACATTCAGCTCCTTGAACCTCAAGGCCTTTTCACTATTGTATCCACACAGTTGGAGGTACAGGACATTTGTAAAGCTCCGTTCTTGGTCCCCTCCTCTTCTCCCTGTACACAAACTCGCTCGGATCAGTCATTAGCCCGCATGGTTTTTCATACCACTGCTACGCTGACGACACCCAATTAATTCTGTCCTTTCCCCGCTCAGAGACCCAGGTCGTCGCACGCATCTCTGCTTGTCTAGCTGACATCTCTCAGTGGATGTCTGCTCACCACCTCAAGCGCAACCTTGACAAGACTAAGCTGCTCTTCCTCCCGGGAAAAGATTGTCCCACTCTTGACCTAACAATCAACATCGACACCTCTATTGTTTCCCCGACTCAGACTGCAAGGAATCTGGGTGTGACCCTAGATAACAACCTGTCCTTCACTGCAAACATCGCTGCTACAACCCGCTGCTGCAGATACACGCTTTACAACATCAGGACGATACGTCCCCAGCTGACCCAGAAAGTGACGCAGGTTCTGGTCCAGGCTCTCGTCATCTCACGCCTAGACTACTGCAACTCCCTCCTGGCTGGTCTACCTGCATGTGCCATCCGACCTCTGCAGCTCATCCAGAATGCAGCGGCTCGTCTGGTCTTCAACCTTCCTAAATTCTCCCACACCACTCCGCTCCTCCGCTCCCTTCACTGGCTTCCGGTAACTGCTAGAATCCACTTCAAGACAATGGTACTTGCTTACCGTGCTGCGAATGGATCTGGCCCTTCCTACATCCAGGACATGGTTAAACCGTACACCCCAGCGCGTGCACTACGCTCTGCATCAGCCAAACGACTCGCTGCACCCTCGCTGCGAGGGGGACCCAAGTTCCCATCAGCAAAAACACGTGGGTTTGCTATCCTGGCTCCAAGATGGTGGAATGAGCTCCCCATTGAAGTCAGGACAGCAGATAGCTTGCACATCTTCCGGCGCAGACTGAAAACTCTTTCGACTCCACTTCGAGCGATAGAACTATTAACAAAGCACTTTTATACTAATAAAGGGCTGGCTTATCTAAAGCCAGGTGAGTAGCACTTGAAATGTTTGGCTCTATGAAACCTGATGTACTTATATGATTCTGTTTTCTTCAAGTTTGTATTTTGTTGGTCGAACGCACTTATTGTAAGTCGCTTTGGATAAAAGCGTCAGCTAAATGTAATGTAATGTAAAGCGATTACACATAGTTGACCATGATCATTTGTTTTGCAGCTATAAAGGGCGAGAGGTTTCGCTTTGGCAAAGGAGATGACCAGGAAGACGTCATCGGTGTGGCTCAGCCTGTGCGCTTCAACAGTAAGCATTTCTCTTCACGCCCCCCCCATGAATTGTATTTAATAATAAAGTTGTTGAACCTGCATTATATGTAAACACCGCTTTTCTCGACCACAATGCTAACGTTTCTCGTCCCTCCACAGAGAAGTGCCCCAGTGGGTGGCACCACTACGAGAAGACGGCCAGCTGTTACAAAGTGTACCCGAGGAACGAGAACTACTGGCAGGCGGTGGACACCTGTCAGAAAGTCAACGGCTCGCTGGCCACCTTCGTCACCGACGAGGAGCTGCAGTTCATCCTGAAGATCGAGGTGGACTTTGACGACAAAGTCTGTGAGCGCAGAGACCAGTGCAAGTGAGTGTTTCACTTTTTACTAAGCCTTCAAATGAAAGGTGTTCTAAGAGCTTCTCTTGACTGTTTAATCAGAATTGTGTACGTTTCTACAGTCGATTACCTGTGAATCACTTTAATGTAGTTACGTTTCTGAACAAAGACAAACACTTACAGCTTGGTCCAAACCCTGCACGCTCCTCTTTTTGATCCTTTCACCCGGACTGTATTATTTACTCAGGAAATAGTTGAAAATACAGAAAGTTGAGCTTTACAAACTCAACTTTACAAACTCACGTCTCAAAAACCACATCAAAACTTCTTCAAATATCTTCTTTTTTAACTTATTAAACGTTTTTTTGTTCCCTTGTTGACCTGTTTAGTTTTAATGTAATACAGTATGGTTATATACAGTCGTATGTGTCAGTGTGTTCCAGCAGAGGTGGAGCTTTGGTTGCAGGCCATCTAGTGGCCAATAGTGGCAGTTTTAAGTGTTCAATTCTAGCTCATGCCCAAACCCTGAAATATACCATTTGACACAGTTAAGAAAAACATTGTGGTCAATAACTTTTTCTTTTCCTTGTTGAAGGTTTTGGGTGGGCTACCAGTATGTGATCACCAATCGGAACAACTCCCTGGAGGGACGCTGGGAGGTTGCATACAAAGGTACAAAGCTTAACCTGCTCTACAAAGCAACTTCTGTAACTTAAACGTTATCTTTTTATTTTAAAATGATTCTTTTCTCCTCAACAGGGTCAATGCAGGTGTTTTTGCCACCTGACGATCTGACCTATTTTGGGGAGGCGTCTCCCACCCAGGAAAACGTCTTCTGTGCTCAGCTGCAGCGCGTTCAGATCAAAAGCATGAACGAGCGAGGCCTGCACAGCTGGCACGCTGAGAACTGCTACAAGAAGTTCCCCTTCCTCTGCAAGAGAAGTACGGGCTCATTTGTCTTGTTTACAGTCGTAGTATGTATATGTTGGACGTTGTTTTGACGTTATATGTTCCCATCAGGGCAAACGTGCGTGGATATAAAAGACAACGTGGTGAACGAGGGATACTACTTCACCCCTAAAGGGGACGACCCGTGTCTGAGCTGCACGTGTCATGACGGAGAGCCGGAGATGTGTGTGGCGGCGCTGTGTGAGCGTCCGCAGGGCTGCCAGCACTTCCGCAAGGACCCCAAAGAGTGCTGCAAGTTCACCTGCCTGGACCCAGGTACTGACTGAGAACAGGGTGTCTGTGTCAGCTGCTGCATGGACAGCTTGAGACATAATGCATGGAGGTTTACACAAGGAGCTCGTCACAGATATACAGCTTTGGAGGGTTTTTAGCACTGTTATCAAGGGATATTGTGTATATAGACTATTCTGCACTATTTCTATTATATTCCATTTAATTTGATGCACTTGCACTATTATCTGTTTTATTGTGTTGCACTGCTGGAGGAGCCTGTGACCTAAGAGTGTCATTGTCATAACTACACTGTAGCTATGTACAAATGAAGCCTTGAACCTTGATATTCAACATACTATTTAACATTTTATGATAACATGTGACTTCAATTTAGCCTGTTTTTAAGTAGAGATTGGCATCTATTGTCCACTACAAATATGTTGAATGAACTCAGTTTACACATGAGAAACACCGCCAGAGACCTTTGTGCATTTCTCATCCTCAGGAGCACTTGTGAGCTCTCTTTGTGTGATTCTCTGATTTTGTCGTTCTTTTCTCTTTTCCCCCAGATGGAAACAGTCTGTTTGACTCGATGGCGAGCGGCATGAGACTGATCGTCAGCTGCATCTCGTCCTTCCTCATCCTCTCTCTGCTGCTCTTCATGGTGCACAGACTCCGCCAGCGGAGACGCGAACGCATCGAAACTCTGATTGGAGGAAACTGTGAGCATTGTTAGATGGTCACATCACCCTAATAAATATTTTTTTGGGTCATTTTATTTAAAGGCAATTTCATAATTATTAGTCTATAAGATGCTGCATAGTTTAATATTATTTCAAATGCTGCAATACACAAAGCATTAGTTAAGAATCGATATTTCCCCAAAAAGTGAAATAAGGTGTAAACCTCTTAAGGCATGTCGGATATAATCGGGTCCAACACTCTTTGTAAACACTCATTTATTATTTGAGCAGCGATGATGACCCTCTCCATTTATCTTACTTTTTACATTTGTGCTATAAATGAAGGTTTCTTTAAAAGGCTGATTTGTGGATGCTTGGAAGTGCAGTGATTAAACATCCTATTCCTGTCTGCTTCTTTCTGCTCAGTGCACCACTTCAACCTTGGGAGGCGGGTCCCGGGCTTCGACTACGGCCCGGATGCTTTCGGCACCGGCCTCACCCCCCTGCATCTGTCCGATGATGGAGAGGGCGGCGCTTTCCATTTCCAAGAGCCTCCTCCTCCGTACGCAGCTTACAAATACCCCGACATCCAGCACCCAGACGACCCCCCCCCTCCGTACGAAGCCTCCATCAACCCAGACAGCCTCCTCTACGTCGACCTTGGTAGGCGCAGATCCTTTTATTCATGCCTCTCATACACAGAGTTGGGCTCTTGTCTTCATTTCCTTTCTCTTGGTGCAGGACGCAGCGGGCTTTCCATGGTACCGAGCCAGATGAACACCATGGGAAACGGGCTCCAGGCGGACATCCCCAACGCTCCTGTCCCTGTGCCAGAATCAGCGCCGTCCTGTCAGGAGAGGGAGGACTCCATAGATAGCAGCACCCTCCTGGTGGGGCCCGACACCCCCACAGACGGCCAGGGGCCCGCAGACTGCGTCTCCTCCCTCAGCACCGTGGTATAGGACCCTGGACGGACATTTCCTGCTGGTCGAGGAAAGTCATGAGGGTGTTCCTCACCGGGAGAGGAAGTTTTTTTAAAAGCTGACTGCAGGGAGGAGAGTTAAAGTTTGTACAGACGTCTTGGATCAGCTCCTTTTCTTTGAGGTGCGAGGATGCCCTCTTTTTGAAGACTCTTCTGCAGTTTGCCTTCAAAGTGTATTTTTTTTTTTTTTTTAAACACTGAGGCAGCAGAGAGGCCTGTTTCTGTACAGAGACAAACACACTTCATAGAGGCCGAGAAGGCTCCACTTTTACTTTAAGCGACGACTGAGCTAAGCTTTTGAAACATCTCAGAGAAGCCGTGATGTAAATACCCCGTCAGGTCTGTGTAGCTCAGATTTGTTATACTTGTGTGTGTCACAGTCCAGCACAAGCTTAAGAGTGACAGAGAAGCCAGCTAATGTTCCTTCTGCGTTTCAGTTTGCATCTTACAGACGTATGTGTTGATCTGTCGCTCTCCAGACTACAATAATGTTCCCATCAGCCCCGTCTGCCGCGGCAGATCTCGATTTCTACTCGCTCCATAGGAAACCTACTCTCTCCTCACGTTCTTATCAGTCTGATACATGAAGCTGTCTTCCAGGTTTATAGCACACATTTGCAGCAACAGTTTTGTAATCCAGAGGTTGAAACGTTCCAGAAAGTACAGTTAGTTTCCAGCTATATGAGGTTTTTATTAGGAAGCGCTCACACGAGGCGTAATGTATCAAGGAATGTCGTGGTACTGATAATTATGAGTTGTTTATTTTGTTGATAAATGATGACGGGAGGCTGTAAAATGGATTGTTTTATTGTGGGTTAGACGCAGTCTGAGCTCCCCACTGATCAGTCAGCAGCGACGAAGCTTTTCAAGTATCCGTGTGAAGATTAGGGATGATTTCCCAGCGTTAAATTTAAGAATCAATTTATTTAAGATAACTGTCGCAATCATGAAGTGGTTTAATCATGCAGAGGTCCCATTGTGTTTCCTTTATCATCAACTCTTGGCAGCATAGTTGTGTATTTGCTAACTGAACCATGTTTAGTGATTCAAAGCTCAATGTTTTGCACGCTCATCCCTCAATTTAATCAGGGTTTTTGTTTTCGCAAAGAAATGTGTTGGTTGTCACATTTGGATGCTGCCCCTCCATTCCTGATGTGTTTGTACGTGTGGTTCTTCAACATCTCGCTCATTGAGGATGTGTCCAGCTCCTGACGAAGATCACTGCTCTGAGTCCTTTCTGTTTGCTGTAGATGGGTCTGTTACCGTCCTTGTTTCTCAGTGGGATCGCAGTAAAAAAAAAAAGTTGTAATAAAAGAAAATCTCGTATATTTGGAACTTTTATGACGACAATCGTTTGATTCAAGGATGAATTTTACAAAGCCTAAAGTTAGATCAGACCCACAACCAGCAGCATTCAAACCGCTTTAGATCTGCCTCATGAAGAACACCAGCTGTAATGTGTGTGTGAATGACTGTCTGTGTGTGTGTGTGTGAATGTATGTATAAAACATTATTTTTGTTCTAAAGCTTTTACCCCATTTTTCTTTTTTTCTTATTTTACATTGACAATCCACAGTGGATTATCCAGGAAACAAAATTGTAAGAAAAAAAAGCATGTGTGTGTAGAAGATGGTGTTTTGTTTTCATCAGGTTTGTTTTGTTTTATTTTACAACCTGCTTTTTGAAGCTTGGTGCATGTTTTTAATCTTTTGGCATGCTGAGGGAATTTTTTTTGAATGGAAACATTTTAACGCTCTGTCCTGTACTGTAGGTTCAAATAATTCTGGCATATAGTTTAAAATCTATGTGCATCATAAACCCGCCCGTGACCCAAACAGCTGCATTTACAATGTAGTTTCAGGTGTGAGAAATTATCTTAATGAATTTAAAATGTTTTTCTGTATAATACAACAAATGCTACATTTCATTGTCTTTTCTTTCAAAGCCTTTAAATCTTAAACATGCTTATGTTGCAGGGTGGGGCTTGTGTTTTTATGAGGTAGATGTACATCTAATCAAATGCCAAATAAATTGCACCATGAAGGACGATTCATGCGTCAGTGGGTATGAACACAGCGTCGTCTGAACTCTTGTGTTGAGCCTCATCGATCACGACATTTAGTTTTGGAGATTCCTGCAGGAAAGTCCGCTGCTGCAGGGACAAAATGTCACAGAAGATTAAGGTGGGATGCGGGGAATTCCCCCCTTAAAGGATGGAGGTTGGTGGGATACAATCCAATCCAGGGCAATCAAAGAGTCAAATAATTTAAAGAAAGCGGATATACAGTGACTCACGAGGCAGCAGGCGGAGCGGAGATAGCGATACCCCGCTGCAGAGCATTGTGGGTGAAGAAAAGAGGCTTTGTTCACACGGGACAAGTAGTGACAGAATCACATAATCTATTCCTGCAGGAAGAGGCGCTGCTCAGTCAGGATGATGATTGAAATGTTACATCCATTTAAAGACCTATCACACTCCAACTGGAGGAGAATACCTGGCAACTAAAGCTTCATGTTGATGTGCGTCATGATTCATTATATTTCGAAAGGTACAATAATTTCAGGTTTTATTTTCAAGATACTTATGTGATAACGTTTGAATAATATCCCTCTTTAATCAACTTTACTAACAGATTAAGTATTTATATTAGAAATAAATAGGATTTTCTTGACCTGCATCTTAATCTGGTAAACAATACTGGAATCAAATGGGAAACTTAAAAAGATACAGTGATACGTTTTTTCTATTTAAAAAGAATATATATATTTTAAACTTTTTTGAGATAGAGATATTTACAGTTGGTACATTTCTACCGCCTCCTTTTATGAAGACATAACGGTATATTCTCATTTTCAACGTGAAAACATTTGAATAAATCAAAGGAAGAAAATCAAACATTTATAAGATGTCATCTCACACACCGATAGGAGTTTTCTTTCTCTAAACTAAATGTTTCCTAATAATTGTTTCTTCTTTAGAGTGTACAGTTGGTACATTTCTACAGCCTCTTTCAATATATTCTCTCTTATGGTGCTGGACAATATTAGAATAAAAAAGGGAAACTTAAAAATGTATAACATTTTATTTGAAACGGTGATGGGAGGATTTATTTCTTATAAAACGTAAATGTTTATTTGTTTACGTATTGAGAGAGATACAGCTCATGTATCTCTACAGCCTCCTTATATGGCGCTGTGTATATTCTGCCCTCTTCTAATTCAGCTGACTTTCCCATGCGATGAATGGCTCTTGTTACTGGTCACTGGGCATCTATGCTGGCAGCGGGGGGGTGGGGTCCGGGGGGTGAAGCTGTGCTGCATCAATGAGCCTGTTGATCAGAAAAGACCACTAGACTGGTAATGACACGCTTCACTGATCACACCAGCACAAAATCAAACTCAGCTTTCACCTCCTACTTAAGCAGGACGCGACTCTGATCCTCAGCCTACCTCAGATCAGCACCTGTCCCTCTGAAGTCCTCGGGCTGCGGGTCTTAAAATGGTTTGGACAGCTGCTCTCTTCTTTATTGTCGTTCCACTCGTTAACTCAGGTGAGGCTCAGTGAGAGACTACATTTATTTAATGCCATTTTAAAAAATGAAAAGGAAAATTACGCTTGTCAACATTTAGCTTTTTGTAATTTCCAGAAGACTACTGCTACGATGAGCCTCAGTGTGGTAAGTTACCTTTTTTCTTTTTTTTTTCAGACCACAGATCGGATATAATATGCTCTCTTATTCATCTCTCTATCTCATGTTCCCATTTGTTGGTGATAAATGTACTGTCCAAGAGGAGACATTATTCAAATTAGGACAATTTAAGGTTGACCCTTTTTTGTATTACTTTTTAGCTGTTCTTATTGGTAACCACTCAAAAGGCATTGTCTTGACAGTTTCCCAAGCTTAAACTTAATCTCAGTCTTAAACCTTTAAGAAAATATAGAGAAAAAAAATGTAATCTTGTATCTGCTAAGGATGATCATGTGATTTGATAAAAGCTCCAGAACAAGAATTAACTTTCAGATTCATTACTGATCGTCTTTCCTCACATAAATCCTCTAGATGTCCACTTGGAGACCACTAATGTATCTAAAAGATCTTCTGTTCGATCTTTCATGTCTGTATTCGGTTCGTATGTGCCTTCTTCACCATCCCAGATCCTTATGCATGGGGAGACATGTACCCGTCGTGTCACCCTTTGCTTGAAGAGCTCCACTCTCCCATCAACCTGGACCACCAGATGACCAGAAACCAGTCTCTGGAGTATCTACATCTGGAGGGCTTCGATGAGATCCAAACGGGCCACTGGACACTTAAAAACAATGGACACTCTGGTAAATGTTATATGGCTTGGAAATATATCAATATTATATTATTATTTTGATATGAGACTAGATATTGTTTTAGATTCTGTACTACTGTAAGTGTAGTCTTTTGCTGCATTACTGTAAAGTGTTGTATTTTTCTGAACTTACCAGACTGTTTCAGCTCTTCAGTTATTTGTGTTTACCTGCTTTAATCATTAAATCAACATTACTGCTGGTCATTAATCAAACATCTCAATGTGTAAAATATTTTGTGAAAGCATCAAGGATTAAACTCGCAATATCAATAGATTTAATTGGTCAAAAATAATGTCATATTTCATTTTCCTCATATTGCCCTGAACACACCACACATCCTCTCAAGATTGAACCATGTGTATATATTCAGTTGGTGATGGCATGTTTCTGGTTGCTCTCAGTGGTGATGGAGGTTGGCGGTGGCATGTCAGTGAGCGGTGGAGGTCTGCCAGATGTGTACCACACCATCCAGCTGCACTTCCACTGGGGGGGCCCGGCTTCCAACGGATCGGAGCACACGGTGGACGGACGCAGATACCCGATGGAGGTACAGTACGGTCAGTAGACGAGCGCTACACCGTCACAAAACAACTGTTGCTGTGCAGCCTTTCCTTAATGTCTTTTTGTTGTTGTTGTTTTTTACTTTAGATGCACATAGTCAACATGAAGTCCATCCATCCCAATCTGACGGCGGCATTAGACGATCCAACAGGACTCGCTGTGCTTGGATTCTTCATTGATGTGAGTTTAATACACTTGTTGTAAAGTATTTGAAAGCAGTGTTAAGAGTTTTCTGACCATTACAGCTACTGAAGTATAACATGTTAATTTAATTCAAATTACTCCATCCAAATGTTGTTGAATGCAAAGAAGTTACATCCAGACAAAACTAAATGTAGAATATATAAAATATTGTTTTACACTGTTAAAATCTTAATTCATGTTATATTTAAGAACTTTTTACAAAAGTTTGTCATGACTCTTGTGTACAGCTTTAAAGTTTACACTGCCTGTTTTTTAATATAACCCAGTTAACAGCATTTGTTAAAAATAATTGGATGCCATAAGTTTCAAAGAATCAACATAATAATTAGACATTAAACATAATAATTACATTAGACAATTTTATTTGACTATATTTGGGGTAACTAATATCTGTCCCAACATTGTACACTACACACATCCTGATTTGTCTTCCCTTTCTTGCAGGTTGTCTATGCAGACAATGTGCACTTTGGACTCATATCACAAAAGCTGTCGTCTGTCGCTTACAAAGGTCAGAGGTCACTTTAGAAAACCATCTCCAGCCTGCTGTTTGTGTTGTTTATAACTCGTGTTCTCATCACATCTTTGCATCCTCCCCCAAGGCCAGACGACTAAAATCAAGCCGTTCCCGCTGATGAACCTGCTGCCGAAGCACAACATGAGTCAGTATTACCGTTACTATGGCAGCCTCACCACGCCCCCCTGCTCTCAGGTGGTGGTGTGGACTCTGTATGAAGTCCCCGTCTACATCTCATGGTCCCAAGTAGGTCTCTTGAGTCTTCTTCTGAAAAACAAACATCTAAATGGTTTCCTGAGTGCTGTAAGTTATCCTTTATCTTTCCTCCTCAGCTGGCTCAGTTTACCTCACAGATATTCTCCACAGAGGAGGATGCAGAGCAGGTGACGCCTCTGCAGAGAAACTTCAGACACATCCACTCCACCTTCGGACGCAAAGTGTCCGTGTCCAAAGATGCCAAACTCCTCGCGGGGGCGGCCGGGCTTCCCCTCAGCTCAGCTTTGTCTCTGCTTCAAATAATTTTGCTGGGAAGCTTCATCATCTCTGGACTCTAACGCAACTTAAAAGGGATAGTGGAAATCCGCGAATTTTGGGTTTAACTTATGTATTTGTATTAAAAATAAGCATAATAAACAATTTTTTTTAATTTCATGCGCCTAGTTTCATTTTATTTTCAATTTTACTGCGCCCTCTCAATGAAACGAAATACTTCGGGAATCGTCGGGAATCTTCGGATGATGACAAGAGCAGAGGAAGACGGGCACAAACAATGGCGGACATTCAATAGCATTTGCATGTGAATAGCCTACCTTTATTATGGTGAATAGATGTGTTTTGTATGGCTGTAGTGCGACAGCAAATGCAGAGAATGGCGTATCGACTCATGCGTTTCCGAGAAACCCAGCCATTCGTCGTCAGTGGGTGAAAATTTTGTTCAGAAATTTTCACTATAGGTAATACTATAAGACTGTAGACGGCAATACTTTATACCGAGTATATTGCCATAAATATGATGATTGATTATCAGTAAAAAATTCTACGTGACACAACGACATTGGATTAACCTTGAGATGCGTTTTATTCCGTTTGAACACAACTTTTGATCACAAATCAAAAAAGGTAAGACGTAATTATTGTAATATTTTTGGAACCGATGTTGTTTACTTTCTCTTTCTGGCTGATAGCTCCAGTAATTCGAGGTCTTACAGTGATGACATACATGTGTGGAGTTCTCAGCTTTAAATCGTATATCTTGTTTGTGCAGTTAAGATAGTAATAAGGGCATTTCCACCGTGTGTTGTGTGTGAAAAAAGCGTTAGCCATTAGTTTAGCATTGTTTCGCTCAATGCTAATTCAAAGGCTTGGTATTACCCCTGTGTTTTTTCTAGCTAACAATTGTTCTTATTGTCAGTTAGCGGGAGTTTCTTACCTTTAAAGGGTATGAAACATTAATAGTTTCATAAATGTTAAGAAGCCCTGAGGACATGTGAGAGAAAAAAAAACTGTGGGATGGGTCCACTGGGGGGACCTTCGGGCTTAACTGGTAACAATGATAATATTTGTAAAGGCTACAGGTGATCTTAAGATGCGTGAGCTATGCTTAGGGACCTACCAGTCAAGATTATTTGTGCGTAGGGTTAAGGGATGTGCATCTCCATCACTGAGGCCGATGCGATGCGCATCTCGATACGTTGCCACGTACGATACATTAACGATACATTTGAAACACTAGGCGATGCGATACGATACGATTCACCCTGTTGCGATACAGTTCGATACGATTTGATTCAACATTATGCGATTTTGGTGCGATACGATGCGATTCAACACGATGCAAAAATAAGATACTTCAATATGGTCCGAAGAGGATGTTTTGTTTTACTTCTTATATGCAGCAAATCATACATTAAACAAAAAAGTGCTTTACATTATTTGGTACTGCACATCCCATCATGCACGTTTATTTTGTTGCCTTTAAAAGCTTTCCAGAGTACAATTCTATAACACCTCACAGGTCCACATCCAACAATGTAAGGATGCATTGCTCATGATTAACAATGTGAAATAACAGCTACCATAGTGCACTGCCATACAGCTGCCAGCCTGATGTGCTTAACACTCATTCATAGGCTAAACTCACCAGGAGCAGAAAGCAGTGGGTTCTATATGAACAATAAAGAATACAAATAACCTTTCACAAACAGGTATTTCATAACTGCTTACAGTAAGGAGACATTTACATTATTATTGGCCGTCACAGGCTGCTGTAAACTAAACACCACTCTCTCTGACAGAACACCCTCACTGAGTGATTTAACTCGTATGTCTAACTTTCATGTTTCTCTTTTCAGCCGCAGGACCCATGTCGCCTCTTTATGTGCGTCGCTAAGTTCCTCGTACTACTTGTGTACTTTAAAGCGGCTCGGAATCGTTAACAATTTGCGAGCGATTTTTCAAGTTGACCGTCTGTAGTATATAGTGCCGCGCACATTATACCATCAGGACGTTACTGATGGGGTGCGGCTGCGGAGTGATAATGTGTGTATGCAAGCCCGCATCTAGGACGGATCTATGTATCATGGCTGTAGACCTGTTAAGTAATAAATACCTCATACAAAGGTCTACGGATACCTTATTACTCTCCATGACCTGCGGTCAACTATGTAGCATAAAGGACTATTACACCGTCTTTCTTGAACAATCCAAAGTGTTGCCAAACGTTTGATTTGTAGGTATTTTTCGGTGCGCTGTGTTTCTCTTTCCCCTCAACTTCCGTGTGTGTTGATAACTGAGACTCTCGGCCTCCGTAGTGGCGAAGCAAATATCAAAGATCGTCTCTGCTGAGCGTTGACAAGATGAGGGAATTTTATATGATGAATCGTTTTTTTACCGATGCAAAGACGCTACGCAATCGATGCATCGCGAGTTCAGCCCGGTTCAACCCAAAACTGTAGCCGATGTGCACTCTTTCAAACCGGTGCACTCGCATCTTGAACGTTTATGCCGGCTTGCACCGATGCGAATCGGTGAAATCTTAAATCTCTAGTAGGGGTGCATCATCTGGCGCCTGGTCCTGGTCATCCTCGCCATTGCCCATGCCGTGAACCATCACCTCGGGCTCGAACAATAAGGACGTAATGGTCCATCGTCTGGCTCAATATTCTCACCATCGTCGCTTACTGAACCGGATTCAGATTCAGTTCCTAAAACGACATTTTCGTAGGAAAGCCGAGAGGATGTTTCTGACCGCTATCATCACTGGATACCTCGTACAATCCTTCTTCTTTGTCTGGTATATTTGCCCTCTTCCACGTTCATTCTGCATAGACGCCATAGTTTGTTATCGTATCGTCTTCCTGAGTTTTCGTCACTTCCGGTTTGGCTGAGTCGAACATTTCGTTTCTAAAAAACTTCGGGGAAGCTGCAATAAAGTGCTTCTCAACATGCGTAAGGCAATTATTATATTTTTTAAATCAGGTGTGATTGTTTTTGGTACGTAATTATGCTTGTATATAAGTTTAAAACGAAACTATTTGAGATTCCAATTTCCACTATACCCTTTAAGGGGGTGATTCATATTTTTGCCCCTCATTTTACCCCAAAATGACTTTTAGATGATGTTTAGATGAAGTCTAGCAAAGATTATATATTTTAAAACACTGAAAACAGGTACTGTAAATGTTGATTTGTTACTAAATGTATTATGATTGTGCCCTCTCCTCTCTGCAGGGTAGTGGCATTCAGAAATGTGAAAATGTTTTGTTACTAACTTGTTCAAAATAATGTGAACTGAGGATGCGAGTTGAAAAAGATACAATATACGTGATTATAGCAATATAAGTGTTAACAGTAAAAGAAAAATAGATGTATTTAGTCAAATAGAATAGTAAGATATAACACTAAGAGTCTATAGCGGCTCTGTCCCAGCATGCTAGTTAATGTATAGCATGCTAACATTTGCTTATTCGCACTTCACACAAAGTGCAGGTGTGGCGCATAGGAAGGTTATTATTTTGCAAAATATCATAAAACAAAGGAAAACATTTTAAAAAATCAATTAAAATGTTGACCTGGTGCTAAATGAAAAGTATAATATTGAAATAAAAAAAACAAAAAATGTTAACCTCATGGTGGAGCTAGCATGGCAAAAAGAAAAAAAGGGAAATAAGGCGGTAATCATAAAGATGTGTTTTAAAGGATTTTTCTGTTGTGTTGGCTCGATGTATTTTCAGAATAGCACTAGTGTATGCAAAGTTCACTAACTGCAGCAAGTGTCTTCTAAAATCCAGCTATTTCCCTGACAGTCATTACAGGAAAAACCACAGTGTGTAAATTATTAAAACAATAAGGGGTGAAATCCATTCAGCTTTACATGTTGTATTTACATGCTAAATCACTTATACCCACAATCCAGTGGAGCTGAACCATTTGTAATGAGTAACACCTGTGCTCTGTTGAAGAACACCAAGCTCATTAAGTAATGTGGAAGCTAATGCTAATGAGCCGCAACTCCTGCATTCGCCATGCAAAATCTTCTGTGTTTGTGTGCAGCATTTGCATATTTGGATTGACCAGCATCAGTGTAAACCTGCATCATTGTAGACAAGGAGATCAGGAATGCAAGAAAAATAATAAGATACGTGGATTGACAGTCTTTCATATAATGTTTAATGTATTGAAACAATAAACGTACTATTTTGTGTCCCATGTGTTGTTGTCTTTGATTAATGAAAGACATTTGCTTTCTTTCTCTGCATTGTTCCTTTTCTGTGAGGCGATGACTATTATGCTTCAGTCATTTGTAAAATCTGTGGCTGAGGTGAGTCAGCGTCAACATGAGATGTTAAAATGACACAACCCAGTAGGAATCGTTTATGCTAGTGAAAAAGAAGTAAGGACATAAAGTCAAGCTGATAAATCTGAATGTTTCTCATAAAACATCAAAACAGTGTCGCAATAATACAAACAAACAAGACATCTTCAGTTGAAAATAATAAATAACTACAGCTGGAGAGATAATGGCTGACCAATCAGGTTCACTTGCTCTGGAGGCTAGTCACACACACACACACACACACACCACCACATCACACACACACACACACACACACACACACACACACAACACACACACACACACACACACACACACACACACACACACACACACACACACACACACACACACACACACACACACACAACACACACCACACACACACACACACACACACACACACACACACACACACACACACACACACACACACACACACACACACACACACACACACACACACACACACACACACTAGCTATGTGAGTGTTTGTGAATCAATTACTCACATGATTAGCTGGTCGATCTAACCAGACACAGACTCATTGTTTTCTCAGCTGCTTCTTAGTGTTTACATTCAGGGCTTCAATTGGGTTTATCTTTGTGGGGGGTTTCTGTGTCGAACTTTTCAAATATCCAAAGCGTTCAATTAACCTTTTTTTCTTTTCTACTCACTCTATTCGACTTTTTTAAGACAGCTTATTCTTTCATTATTTTCCCAGATCTGTTCCCATACCGGGAGTCGAACCCGGGCAACCTGGGTGAAAACCAGGAATCCTAACCGCTAGACCATATGGGACATCTTTTGTGTCTTTTTTCACATTTTTTTGACAGACCTGTGACTTTTTAAAAAGGTTTGCAAAAAAAAGTTCTAGTTCCAGATCTTTTTGGTGTGAACGCAAAATCCCAGGAACTTTTATTTCCTGGAACATCTAGTAAATCGCGTTCATGACGAAGAATAAGTCCTTCGAAGGACAGGAGTCACTTCTTCCTATTCTATTCGTTATAATCTTCTTTTTTTTTTGTTCGACTCTTCTTTCTTCATTTATTTCAGTTTCAGACTTTGTATTTTCTCATATCTTGTTCTTCTTACTTCTTCTTCTCTTC